CTCCCCGGGCCCCTCCCTCTGATCACCGTGTGCGTCTTTAGCCAGCACGGCAGACTGCTGTTCCAGGGGTGTGTCTGGCTGTCCCCTAGACACGCCGCCTGGGGTCTCCTCAAGGTCTCACGCCCACAGATCCAGTTCCTCCTCGCCTGCACCTCCTCGCGCCTGTCAGCTCTGCAAAGAGCGCCACGTGGCCGCGGCAGAAACGCAGGCGCTGTCTTTGACCCCGCCCTTTCCGTTCCTTCCCACAAGCCAGCCCTCAGGTTTCCTCCTGAATATCTGCTGAGTCTGTCCTCTTCCCTCTGTCCCCGCTGCTGCCGGGGTCCTGGGGTCCGTCGTCGTCGCTGCCATCACTGACCTGCAGTCCCTGAAGGGCCCTGCCTTTCCTCTCTCGGTCTAGTCTTTCTCTGGCCAGTGCCATCTTCACCCTGCGCCCAGGAAGGTCCTTCTAAAATGGAGAGGGGGTTACTCCATCTGTTCTCTTTTTTAAAACCTTTTCACGGCCTGTCGGGTAAAATCCAGACTTTTTAAATAGCTTGAAAGGCCCTTGGTGACCCTCCTGTGCCTGACTCCTCAGACCTCCTCTTCTGCTGCCACTGCCGTGGCCGGCCACCCCCAGCTGTCCCCACCCGCCTTCAGGCTGCTGTGTCGGTCACCTTCCAACACTTGCAGGTTTTCCACACCTGGACCAGGGTTCGAACTTGCAGCCCAGGCACGGGCCCTGATGGGGAATCGAACCCTCAGCCTTACGGTTATGGGGTGAGGTTTAGCCAACTGAGCCACACCACGCAGGGAGGAACTTCTCTTTTGAAATAGTTTGCAGATAGACCATCAGAATACCTCAGTGGGAGAACTCTTTTTTTCTTTGAGAATGTTTGATTTTTAGAAATAGCTTGGTTCACAGAGTAAGACCAAGATGGTTAACACCATTTTTGATATTTAATAAAAGTATGATCACAATGAGATTTTCCTTTGTAGTATCTAAATTGATACATATTCCGGCTTTCTTACAAGTAGTACTGACAGCATATTCCTTTTGACTCATTAACATTCAGGAAACTATCAAGAAATCTTGAGTTTTGAATAGCACTCTGATAAAATCAAGCAGTGTTAGTAAGCTCAAGAGAGACATCTTTAATACTATTCTTAATCACCAGTCGACCATCAAAATGTTCCTTCTAGCAAAGAAGAATTTAGGAAAAAATGATCTGAGGTGCTGCCCCATATTCTTACACAGATTTGGGGCTGTTCTCTCTCCAGCGAGGCCACAGTGTCTGTGGCCGAAACGCATTGTGGAAGGTGGGCCCACTATGACGCAGAGAACCTGGCTCCTTCAGGGGCCTGTTCCTCGTACAAGGGAGGAGCCGCCGGGGGAAAGGACAGGGATGTAGACAGGCACTTGGCGTCTGCAGAAGCACAGAGGATGTGCACAGTGTAACCCTCAGGATGTGCTTATAGGTGCACGACTGGAGGCACAGGTTAATCCCTGAACGAGAAGACACATCCAACCCAGTGGTTGGGCGAGCAGCCGGGCAAGGTTGGAGGCGGTGAAACCCCAGGCTCGTGGGGGAGCTGGACCGGGGGTTCCAGTCCACGGGGACCGGTCACAGTGTGCAGGTCGCTGCACAGAGCCTCGTTGCAGTCTGTAGCCCAGCGGTTGCTGAGGGTTTGGTGCATTCCCTCGTCATTGTGTAGAAGGTTATGGATGTGAGGTATCGAGGCAGCTGTAAAGGGTTGTGGACACGTTAGTTATTTTAAACTAGTTCACTAGTTTGTACCCTGGACTTACCTCATCCTGTGTGTGTGTGTTTGTGTACATATGTGTATGTGTGTGTGTGTATTTGTTGATGCTACAATGATGGAGAGGGATGGGGGTGGGGAGAAGGATGCACGGCTCTCTCTGAACCCTGGGTGAGGGGGGAGAGGGGAACTTGTACAGCTAACTCCCCCTTGCCACAGGGTGGTGGTGGAGCAGTGTCACTTGGGCACGTGGGGACTGAGCCCGGCAGGAAAGGCCTTGTGAGCCGGACCTCACGAGGCCTGGTGCCCGTGAAGTCTTTGTCACAGTGCAGCAGGCACTTTGGGGGAACTGGTGTCATTATGGTTTTACCGGCACCTCGATCGTAGGTTTCAGCTGGGCGGTGTTGGTATGTGCCCTGGGACAGGGTTTTCTGGTGGAAGCTGGCCGCACGGTGGAATCTGAGGCCGCTTCTCCAGCCTGGCTGTGGAAGGAAAATCACGGAGCAGCCTTAGACGACACCTGTGGCCAAAAGCAAGTGGTTGGCTGTTTTCTCTTAGTTCAACCTTAAATATCAAAAGTCAGTTTAAATCACTATAAAGCTGCAAAATTCAAGGGCAACGATGTTATGAAAGAGGTCTAGAAAGAGAATTTAAATGAAATGCCCATTTCTCCTTTTAGTTCTTTTCTGTAAATTGTGTGTTGGTCATCTGTTCTGGGTACTAGTTTTCTTAATTTCAACCTGAGTACCAGCAGTTGTCTTGGCAGTGCCGGCAGCAGGCGTCACACGGAGAAGGTTCTGGGGCCCTGTGGGCAGTCCGCCATTGAAAGTGCTCTTACGGTGTGCACAGCAGACGCATTCTAGAGACCTTTATGCTGAATAGATACTTTGATCGAATGTTTTTATTTTTGAAAGGCAAAATTATTTATTTATTTTTGTACTTCTTAAGCCCCTCCCCTCTCACCCATTCTCCCATACTCACCCTCCCATCTTTTTATCTTTAACCTTTGGCATTTCGATTATGACGTGTGTTGGGGTGGGCCTCTTTGTGTCTGTCTCGTTTGGGACTCCCTGTGCTTCCTGGACTTGCATGTCTATCACCCCCACCAAATTAGAGAAGTTTCTTTTCATTACTTTTCAAATAGATTTCCAGTTTTTTGCTCTTTCTCTTCTTCTGGCACGCCTGTGAAGTGAATGTTGGGTTGATTAAAGTTACCCACAGGCTGCTAACACTGTCCTTGTTTTTTTTTTTAATTCTTTTTTCTTCTTATTGTTCTGATTGGTTGGTTTTTGCTTCCTGATGTTCCAAATCATTGATTTGATTCTTGGCTTCATTCACTCTACTGTTGTTTCCCTGTAATAGTTATTTATTTCAGTTAGTGTACCCTTTGTTTCTGACTGGGTCTTCTTTATGCTGCTGAGGTCCTCACTAAGTTCCTTGAGCATCCTTATGAGCAGTGTTTTGAAATCTGCATCTGATATGATTGCTTATCTCCATTCTCTTCAGCTCTTCTCCTGGAGTTTGGATCTGTTCTTTCATTTGGGTCATGTTTCTTTGTCTCTTTGTTTTGGCAGCCTCCCTGTGTTGGTTTCTATGTTATTAGGTAGAGTTGCTTTGACTCTGTGTCTTGGTGGTGTGGCCTAATGTAGTAGGTGTCCTGTAGGGTCCAGTGGCACAGCCTCCCCTATCACACAAGCTGAGTACCCGAGGTGTGACCTTTCTGTGGGCTGAGTACACCTTCCTCTTGTGGTTGAGCCTTGGATGCTGTTGGCAGGTCAATGGGAGGGATTTACCCAGGCTATTCAGCTGCAAGGACTGGCTGTGACCACTGACCACCAACCTCCTCCCTCCATGGAGGATCAGCTGTGTAGGGGCAGGGTGGTGGCGCTCCAAAATGACCTATATTGCTGTCCACTGGGTGCTCTAGCCCTGGGGTTTCCTGGGTGGTGCAGGCCCAGGTCAGTCCCAACCTGTGTATGTTGCTTAGTTTGTTTTTTAGATTCAGTTGTTAATGGTTGTGAATCTCTCGCCATATTAATGTTCATAGTTGTGATCTTCTTTTCTTAAACAAGTCCCTTTAACATTTCATGTAGTAATGGCTTGGTGATGATGAACTCCTGTAGTTTTACTTTGTCTGGGAAGCACTTCATTTGCCCTTCCATTCTAATTGGTAGCCTTGCTGGACAGGGTCATCTTGGTTGTAGGTCCTTGCTTTTTGCTTTTCATCACTTTGAATACTTCTTGCCAGTTCCTCTGGCCCGCATCAGCTAACAGTCTAATGGGAGCTCCTTTGTAGGTAACTGCGTTTTTCTTGCTGCTTTTAAGATTCTTTCTTTATCTTTAACTTTTAGCATTTTAATTACGATGTGTCTTGGTGTGGGACTCTCAATGCTTCCTGGACTTGTATGTCTATTTCATGAAAGGCAAAATTTTGCCTCATGCCACAATTTGCCCGTTAGGATATAAGTGGGTGTCTGACAGTGATACAAAAAATAAGAGGTTTAGATAAAACAGCAGCAGAAGCAACTAAACATCAGATTTGTTTCTGGTGAGTGACCTGAGCAACTTCCGCCGGGTCAGAAACATGCAGGATGGGCGCATTACCTTTCTATTGTGCCCTCCCGGACGATCGCAAACTGAGTGATTTAGCAGCACGGAGATTTATCACCTTACAGCTCTGTGGGGGAGGCGGCCAGCGCGGTCCCGCTGGGCCCAAATCCAGGTTTCGGCCAGGGCTGCACTCCTTTTGGAGGCTGTCAGGAAGAGCCCACGTCCTTGCCTTTCCAGCTTCCAGGAGGTCCCCGCGGTCCTGGCCTCCGTCCTCAGAGCCAGCACGGCTGCCTCTTTCCCACCATCCGTCTGCCGTAGTCAGACTTGCTCATCATCACAGCCACGAGCGTTTCTCTCTTCTGAGCACCCTGGAGACTTAATTCAGCTGCCCTCACAGACCATCGGAACGTGCCCGTCACCAGGTGCCACACGTACTGCCATCTGTGACGCCACAGAGCCTCGGGTTCTGGGGGTTCGGATGTGGCCATTTCGGGGGGTGTTATTCTGCCTGCCGTTATATGGAAGTCATTAACACCGTATGTCATTCGGAGGAAGTGTTTTTCGGACACGGTCGTCATTTGTCACAGGTCTTCAGGAAACCTTCATTCGGGTAGTGCGTAGGGAAGAGTTGTACATATTTAAAAGAACATTTTGTTTGGGTTTTAACCTGCTTATTAAAGCTAACATTCGTTCTCTTCTGTTTTCTCTGCTAGTGATAACCTGCTGCGGAGAGCGGCCTGTCAGGAAGCTCAGGTAAGGCCGTTCGCTGTGAACCAGTGGGAGCACCTGGTTTCCACAGTGCGGGAGATGTGCACTGTTCGGGGCGCACGCGCTGTGCCTCCCGTCCCGAGGTGCGGTGTTTGCCCACTGTCTCGGGGACGGGGCCGCGTCAGGTGGAGGGCGTGAGCCGCCTGGCACAGAGCAGCGCCCACCTCCGGAGGCCTGTCTACCGCGGGCTGAGTCCCGGGGCGCGTGGGCGGGGCTCCGGGAATTTGTTCCCTTCCACGGGCGTTCCTGAGGACGAGGCTAAGCCCTGACTCATCCCGGCCCGAAGAGCCCCCCACAGGCTGTCAGTTCAGAACAGGTGTTACTTCTCAAAGACAAACCTCCTTACAGCTGTTGGTTCCTATCTCTAAAGCTCCGCTCCCTCATCGCAGCCAGTGCGTACCACGTGCGCCCCACGTGCGCCCCGTGATAGTGCGCTTAAATCTCCCAGTATCTCGCTGTGCTCGGGACAGTGCAGTTGTGAATCCTCTCAAGGCCGAGACCGCATTTTGGTTCTTTTCGCCTCTCCAAACCTGTGCATTATACCTCGCAGGCAAATTCTGTGATTGAGTTGCCTTCTTGTTGTGTGCCATTTATGTTTATTATGGCAGAAATACCAGAAAAAGAAACAGGAAAGGAAAAAGGCATGAGGTCTGTAGTAGGAGACGCGGGTGGCAAACCTGCTGTTTGTTCCCGAAATGCTTCCATGGGTGACAGTGACAGTAGGTACCGTCAGCAAGTAAGTTCCTTTCTTTTGTGATCCCCTAACCGTTCTGAGTCTGTTTTCTGAATCTGAGCACTTGGTCGCTTGTTTTACCTCATAGGGCTCTAAGTGGTTTTGGAAATGAACTCGAACTTTGTATTCAAATCGAGGTGATCCCCTCCACAAGTTAACTTACCATTAGCAGCTGGAAAATCATAGAGGGGAACCTTTTCTGTCTCTCTTCAAGACAGGCCGGTCATGGGGTCCTCCCTTGTCTACGATAAATGCCTCTGCCTTCGTTTGAAAGTCCATTCCCTCTTACTTCTTCAGAGACTGTGTTCTCGAGTTATTTCCACCTTTTCATTTATTTACCTCTTTACGCTCTTCTTTTCTTAGAGATTTTTTTTTATTTTAGAGAGGGGAAGGGAAGGAGAAACATCAATGCGTGGTTGTCTCATGTGCCACCTACTGGTACCTGGCCCACCACCCAGGCTTGTGCCCCGACTGGGAATCGAACTTGCAACTCTGTGGTTTGCAGGCCAGCACTCAGTCCACTGACCTACGCCAGCTGGGGCTCTTCCCACTGTTCGAATTCTCTTCTTCCCAACACACACACACTTACCTTCTGTCTGATAAAAGTGAATTCATTCTTAGAATGTCCTCTAGTTACATTTCCTATTCATGCCCTTCTCTCAAGTCTAAATTTTTGAAAGAATGTGAGTTTTTAAACTTCATGTAAACTTAGCTCATCATAGTCTTACATAAACTCCTTAACCTGCTGTTGACCTGAAAGTTGAGTTGCAAGTAAGTGTTCCGGAGAGCAGAACAGAAACCAGGACGAGGGGGAAGAGTGTGGAGCTGTGGACCCGGAACTGGGTGGGCACGAGAACTTGTCAATTATATCATTTGTGGCCACACTCCAGAAAGAGTATGGATAGAACAAGAACAAATTGTAATATTTAGAGATTTGGCAGCCAAATGTTAAGGTCTAATTCAGTAAGACTGAAAACAGTAGAAATTATAATGCACCAGAGTGTCATTTTTTTTTAAACAAAGAAACAGTATGTCTTTCTGAACTATTCAGAAAAAGTTTATTTTTTTTAAAGCAAGAAATCGACAATGGTAAAAAAGGCTCTCCAGTGGACCTCAGGCAGGAGGTAGATGTAGAGTCAGCTGTTTAATGAAAATCTAGTTATTACCTCTCATTCTTCCCTTTAGGTGCTTTGTGCACCTACCCTGGGATCCTGCCTTCTGGGCCCAGACCTGCTCCCCACCGTCTGAGACGCGGAACTTTGCCCTCTGTGCCGCGTTCCTCCTCTCGTCCTTTTCCTGGACCTTGCGCTCCTGGTGGTCGCGCCCTAGATCTCCAGGCCTCGGAATCTGCCTCGTCCTCTCTCCGCGCTTTAGAGCTGACAGAGAAGGAGAAGTCAGGATTTTGGAGCTCACCGATGTAAATGCTAGGCTGTACTTTATTAACAATGTGACGTGGATTCAATCTTTCTGAATGCTGTCTTTCTAATCTCTTAAAAGGGGAAAGTTTAAGACAAGACCTCCTAGGTTTCTCAGAACGAAGAATAATGCGTGTGAAAGTGGCAAATACTAAGTACTTGGAGAACATTAATTACAGTCCTTTTCCTGTCACAGCTGATGCTACTTAGTTGTCATTCAAGGTAGCAAAGCAGCGGAGGCAGGTAGAGTATTAGTTCAGATGTATGTAAATATATGAAGATTAATTGGTAACACAAAGATTCTTCATAAATAAGCTTTAGTAATAAGTTGAAGTGGGAAAAGATCACACTCTGGAAACGAAAGACAAATGGATTAGAATCCCCTTCTGGCAGCTGTTGTCTCACTTGTGTGTCTGTGATAAACCTGGCCGTAGCTTGTGGAGAAAACACAAGTTACCTCTTGTGGGTAAAGCAGGGCTTGTTTTGTTATTAAATAACGGGACACTTTTGTGTTGTTGCTTATGGCGTTTGTGTTAATGTGAAATCATGAAAGAACATTTTTTTTTTCCTCCTAGAGTAACTATTATATCTTCTGGAAGTAAATTCTTCTGGAATGAAAGAATATATGTGATCACTAACTGAATAAAAATAAAAGGACATTCACTTAAACCTTTTCTTTGTCCCGTTCTAGGTGTTTGGCAATCAACTCATCCCTCCCAACGCGCAGGTGAAGAGGGCAACCGTCTTCCTCAACCCCGCCGCTTGCAAAGGGTAGGCGACTCGTTAAGTACGCGTTGGTGGTCTGCTGCGTGCTCAGTCTTTATAGGGGGGGAATAATCATGGGATGGCAGGCAGCTAGTTGGGTTGTTTGGAACTGGAAGACTAGGTTCAACACTCTCCCAGCAATCAGGTGTGTGTGTGATGAAGAGAGAACGGGTAATGAGGTACACCTGTAAAGCTGACTGGTGCTTAGCAGGCTTGGCTAATTGAAGTTCACTGACCATTCCAGAATTAACACCCGCAAGTAAGTCTCTCCTGCTTGGCAGCAGCCCCCTTGGGGGAGCCCCTGCCGCTGTGACGTGGGTTATTAGACCTTCTCTGTTGCAAGGCGATCAGGGATGGCCAAGCGCCCTGGGCTGGCACGGGCAGCAGCGTTCTTCCCTGGAGGAGGGAGCCTCAGCCGGGCCGGTGGGGTGGGGGGCACCCCAGGGAGAGCGCTCGCTCTTCTGGGCTGAGGAGACGGTCCACGGACAGGGGCCTAGGGCAGGGGCGACTAACTGTGTTTCTTGCTGTGTCGCAGGACCGTGAGCGGTCTGGCGGGCTGGCTGGGTCAGGTGAGGGACTGTGGGAATCCAGCTGTGAGGGATGCTTGGGACCCTGGGTGATGCTCACGTGTCCCTGTGCGTTACTGTAACAGACGTCCCACACACAGGTGTCCCACAGACAGGTGTCCCACACTGGAGTGAGGTGTCGAAGGGGGTGGGCTGTGTGTGCAGTGGGGCGAGGAGTGTGCGGGAACTCTCTGCACTCTTTTAGACAGTTAAATTTTGGGGTGACGTTGGTCAATCACAGAAGTGTCAAGCGTACAGTTCCCTCGTACCTCACCTGCGTGTTGCCCTGTGTGCTCACCACCTGAAGCCCTGTCTCCTTCATCCTCCGCCTCTCCTTCCCCTCCGGTGACCACTGTACCGTGGTCTGCGTCAGTGAGTTTGTCTGTCACTTTGTTTTATACCCCACACGAGTGAAATCAGACAGTTTTTGTCCTTCAGCATCTGACTGACTTCACTGAGCCTGAAACGGTCCGCGCCCGTCTCTGTGGTTGACAACGGCAGCACTTCATCACTTTTCGTGTCTGTCGTGGATGCCGGCGTGTGCCGCCTCCCCTGTGTTCCCTCGGCTGCGGGGGGCCGTTCGGGTGTTTCCAGCCTCAGCCGCTGTGAATGATGCTGCGGGGACACAGGGGCACGTGTATCTTTACCAATAGATGTTTCCGCGTTTTCCAGGGAGAGACCCCCGAAGAGGGCTTGCTGGGTCATGTGGTAGCTCTGTTGTTCATTTTTTGGGGAACTTCCATACTGTTTTCCACGATGGTTGTACAAATGTACATTCCCACCTGCAGTGAATGAGAGTTCTTTTTTTGTCTGTATCCTCTCTAACACTTGTTCTTTCTTTCTTTTTCCTTCTTTCTTTTTATTAATGTTCGAATACAGTTGTCTCCATTTTCCCACCACCATTTCCCCCGTGTTATTTCTTGTCTCATTGATAACCCTTCTAATAGGTGGTATCTCGTGGTTTTGGTTTACATTTCACTCATTGCTAGCGGAGTTGAGCATTTTTTAATGTATCTGTCGGCCACCTGTATGTCTTCTTGGGGAAAGTGTTCAGTCCTCTGCCCGTTTTTAATTGGACTGTTTGCTTCTTTGTTGTTAAGTTACATGAGTTCATTTTATATTTTAGATATTAATATTAAACTCTTATCAGAGGTGTCATTTGCATGTCTTCTCCCCTTCAGTTGGTTGCTTTTTTGTTTTATTGATCGTTTCTTTTGCTGTGCAAAAGCTTTTAGTGTGATGTAGTCCTGTTTACATATTTTTGTTTTTACTTCTTTTGTCTTTGGGGTCAAGTTCTTAAAAACTTCTCTGAGACAGACGAAGGTTCAGAGGTTTAGTACCTATGTTTTCTTCTATGTATTTTACTGTTTCAGTTGTCTTTAATCCATTTTGAGTTAATTTGTGTGTATGGTATTCAACAGCAGCCTAGTTTTATTGTTTTGCCTGTGGCTTTTCAGTTTTCCCAGCACCACTTATTGAACAGGCTTCCCTTTCTCCATTGTGTGTTTTTGCTCCTTTGTTGAAAAGTAGTTTCCCACAGGTATGGGTTTATTTTGGGGGTCTCCGTTCTGGTCCATTGGTCTGTGTGTCTGTTTTTCTGCTGGTACCATACTGTTTTGATTATTGTAGCTTTGTAGTGTAGTTTTATACCAGGGAGCATGATATTTCCCACTTTGTTCTTTCTCAAGATTTATTTTGCTGTTTGCGGTCTTTTAGGTTTCCATATAAATTTTAGGGTTATTCTAATTTAGAGAAGCATGCTATTGGTATTTTAATAGGGGCTGTATTGACTCTGTATATTGCTTTAGGTGGGAAGGACATTTTAACAATATTAATCCTTCCAATCCGTGAGTAAAGTATATCCTTCCATTTATTTGTATCTTGTTCAGTTTCTTTCTCCAGTATCTTATAATAGTTTTGTACAGGTCTTTTATTTCATTGGTTAAATTTGTTCTTAGGCGTTTTATACTTTTTGATGCCATTGTAAATGAGATTTTATTTTAACTTTTTCTTGTAATCATTCATTATTGGTGTGTAGAAATGCAATAGATTTCTATGTATTGATTCTGTATCCTACAATTTTACCAAAGCCATCTATTAGTTCTGACAGTTTTGGGGTGAAGTCTTCAGGGCTTTCCGTGGTATATGTGCTATCACATCATTGCAAGCGTGAGTTTCACTTCTTTGTTTCTGTGTTGGATGCCTTTTCTCTCTGTCTCGTCCGGCTGCTGTGGCTGGGGCTTCGGTGCTGTACAGCACACAGGTGGTGGTGACGTCCATCCTGGCCTTGCTCCTGGTCTTAGAGGAAACACTTTCAGCTTCTGAAAGAAGTTTCTCTTGTAATTTCTTGAGATGAAGTGTGGCTTCACAGATACAAGGACAAGGCGTGCCCTTATTTCTCTTTAATTCAACAATGTAAGATACTCACCTGCAGATTATTTAAATCGTCTCCGTTACTCTGCCTAGTTGATCCTGTCTGCACAGCTTTGTTAAAGCCACTCCTTCCCCTATAAGCACCCAGTTGCAATGCCTGTTGATCACTCTTGTTTAACAGCATCACTGCATCATAGCAGCTGTGGAGCCTAACACAACACAGTCAGAACACCCAAGATGACTCGGTAAGCAGTGGTGGTCAGTGCAGAAGTAGCACAGAACTCCTTGGGCTTCCAAGTTTGAAGGACCAGTCTGTAAACTCTTTTCTGCTCTGTCATATTGTGGGAGCTACTTCACTTAAATGCTCTGTGTACTCTTTCGTAAAATGGGAAAAGCAATAGCCCATAACCTTACAAAACTACCACTGTAACAGGTGCCTTTAGGATGCAGTGAGATCCCTTCGGAGCGTCACAGGAAGGTGGGGTGAGGGCAATACGAGCGGCTGTCACTGCTGCTGTTCACCTGTGGGCTCACGAGATTCGCCGCTGTGCTCTCCCGCCCGTCCCGAGAGTGCGTGCACCCTTCCTGCCGCCTCCTTGGCCTGTTCTAGGTCCTGTTCCTCTGGAAACCGGTAATTCAGCAACTTGTTAATTCTGATGAAGAGAAATAGACGGCAGCTGGTCTGGGCTATAATCAGTTATATTGAGTTTCTACTTCTAAGAGATACGTTTTTAAAGACTTTGTTTTTTAGGTTTGGTCACATCTGTACACGTAAATGTATTTGCATTTTTAAAGATAAATTCTTGCTTAAAAGCACACTGTCTTTATCTAAAGGCGAGGCTCGGGAAAGGCTGTCCCCCCTAAAGTGGTCGTCCCCTGAGCAAGGTGAACCCTGCACCACGCTAGCAAGCAGCCGCTCTGAGACGCTCCAGCATCGCTTTTTAAAGCTTTCACTATTTACTGCTCTGTTTTTCTCGTCTTGACTCTTCCCTGACACACAATTTACTATTTATTGTGTTGCTACATCATTATGTAGTGCTGGTTTAAAACTACATAAGAGGCTTTAAGAAATAACATAAGTGTGTGTTTATCATGAATAAATAATGCATTAAGGAGTAATTATTTTTGTGTGTGTGTGCATGAACCTGGAAATTGCTACAAGTATATACAGTTTTTATTTCCAGTGCTGTCTCACCCTTGATTGTGTAATAAATAATGCACTTCTTACTATAACACCCGGTTTTTAATCTTTTACACGGAACATTAGAAAGGAAAACAGTGTCTTCACTTTCAGAAATCTTCTGTACCCGTGGCATCACACAAAGCCATGAATAAAGACCCAAATGTTCAAGTCTTATTTCTTAGGCTCACTTAAAGGAGCTTCCAGATTTTTCTAAGTAGTTAATGTGGCGGATTGAGACTTCTTCAGAGGTTTGCTTCTCGGAGATAGATCCTATCCACCTCCAGCAGATCCTGCCTTCTCCGTCCGTCCATGATGACAGCGTCCGGGAAGGAGGGGTGCGTGCAGTGTGACTGCCCCAGCCCGCTGCCGTTGGGGCTGAGCCGCAGACACGGCGAGCTGCGAGGAGACCCCTCCGTTGAGCCTTTCGTGTTAATTCTGTGACGCGCTCAGCGCAGTGGGAAAGGCAGGGGGTGTTTGTGTAATGTGCTTATCACCCGCTCGGTTAGGCCCTTGGCTTGGGATGGTCTCTCAAACGGTTCTTGGGAACATCTATCCAGGCTTCTCAACTTCCATTTTAATTCACAATAAAGGTTCTGTGTTTTGTCTGCCATTGGTGGTGGTTCTCTTCCGTGTAGAGAATGTGGAATTTGGTCTGCACGTGTTTGTCATTGGCTAACCTTGCATCTTTCTAGTATACATCATTCTCAAGAAAGTCAAAGCAGGCATGACTGTTTAAAAAAAACTTTTTGAAAGAGAGCTGAGTAAATGTGGATGTAACAGTTAGCTGTTTGGCCAGTTGACTGTTTCAGAAGGACTGGTTTGTTTCCGACGTGATAGTTGAAAGTAGTTGGGCGAAAAGGCGGGTCTCCCGGTCGGTATGTTTCACACGTACTTGTTCAGCTTCGAGACTGCGCCGTTGGGGACCTTCGGCAACCTCTGTGTTCCTTGATTCCTAGGCTTTTTTTTTGCATCCTGTCCTGAACTGGACAAGAGTCACTATCAGAATGATGTGTGTTTTTTATTTTTTAAAGATTTTATTTATTTATTTATTTTTGGAGAAAGGGGAGGGGAGGGAGAAAGAGAGGGAGAGAAGCAGTGATGTGTGAGAGACACATCAGTCCATTGCCTCTCGCACCCCCCAACCGGGGACCCGGCCCTCCACCCAGGCTTGTGCCCTGACCGGGAATCAAACCAGTGACCTTTTGACTCACAAACCGGCACTCAGTCCCCTGAGCCACACCAGCCAGGGCTGATACTTTTAAAACACTTACACTTTTCTAAGGGCTTTTTAACTGTTTCTCTTGTTACATCATAGTCATGTCATTTCCTCTCAGAATGCACAGGTCCACATTTAGGGTGGGTCTATTCATGCGTTCATTTGCGCATTAATTCCTTAGGTTTTTAGTAAGTGTGCTCCACCTGCGCCAGACACACTCCTAGAGGCCAGGGGACGCAGGGACGTGCTCGGGGTCTGTCTCCGCAAGGCGTTGGGTCTGGTCCCGGACCGTCTAGCAAACCCCTCATCATCCTGCTGTGTGCAAGTCCCTGAGGGAGACGCAGACCCGGTGCTGGGGCAGCTCAGAGAAGGGCGGGCCCTGCTGGGAGTTTGGGAAGCTGCTGATTATCCCGTAGTTCATTTCTAACTTCTCTATCCTAGCAGACATTTGGCCGTCATGGAAAAGAATATTGCTCTCTCCAGGGATTTTACTGCAGGTTTAAAACTTAAGAAGTAAAGATAGCATTTGGAATAGTTACAAATGACGTGTTTCTCCCGCAAAGGTTGTGTTCATTGGTTAGAATTAAGCGATAATCTGTTTGGTTCGGTCTGTTCCCTGGGGCCATGTGAAAAATGGTAAACAGAGTAAATACATTCTCTCCTTCTGCCGCTGGAATACAAATAAGTTCCTTGAGGAAATAACTCATTATACTTAAATTGCAAGTATTTTTTGTCTGCTTTGTCGTGTGGTCTCTCCAGCTCCTACACCTGCCTAGCACATAGTAGGTGCTCAACAAATACTTGTTGGCTGAATCAAACATTTTTGTTTGAGTGGCTCTCTGTGTGGTGTATGTTCTTCCTCAGGAACTGCACGGGGAGCTGAGACATCCCAAATGGACACGAGCTCACTGTATCGGACAAAGCCTGAACTCCTGCAGGCCCCCAGTGCGGGCTCTGCGTCCCTGGCCAAAGACGCTCCTTTCTCATTGTTAAACTTCCTGCACGTGAACTCGTAGAGGGAGCCTGTGTGCCTTGGTCTCTTTCTTTGTTCTGTGCTGCAGAAGGTGCTTGGGCTCTTTGTTCTCCCCTTGAGAACCTGAGTTAAAATGTTTGTGTTTTTTCCTTTGTCTACAGCAAAGCACGGACTCTGTTTGAAAAAAACGCTGCCCCGATCTTGCACTTGTCCGGCATGGATGTGACCGTCGTCAAGGTGAGGCCTGCCGCGGAGCGTCGGTCTTGTCCCTGCTGCTGCGGCTTGTGACGCAGCCTCTCCTCTCGGCCGGCTCGCAGAAATCAGAGTCCCTGGAGCCACGGTCAGAGAGGTCTACGTTGCGTGCTGGTTCTGACGGTGAAAGCGGTTTTGTTTCCTTCGAGCATTGCCAGTGTCTCATTGTCAGAGGAGAGTTAGACAAGAGGCAGAAACCTGTCTCCCTCATGTGAAAGTAGGACGTGGAATTGCTATCTCTCGGAAGATGAAAATTGCTGTAGCTGCAAGAATTCCTTTTTTAAAAAAACAAAACCTGCAAGTTTGAGTAATTTCTTGCTAGCGCCACAAACCAGTAAACAGTTTTTCCTCTGGTGAGGAGTTATCTCTGGTGAGGAATTTTAAACGCTAAAGCTTCAGAGTTTGCAAGATGTAGGTAAGAAGAAAAGGTGATAAAAAAAGTTCAGGGGCATTGTGCTATCTCAGAAGATGCTTCAGGGTACCACTCTGTTGGCTTTTAAGTGACGTGTGCGTGGTGTGTACGTGGGTATGTGTAGTGGGTGGAAACCACTGCTACATGTTTGTGAGTCTGTGGTTAACCAGTTTTTAATGTTACACACTTCCATTAAATAGATCATAGCGATTAAAAGGTCAGTCAGCCCAACTTACCGTGCAGTTTCCACTCTCTCCCCCAGCGTGTCTGAGAGGTGGGGTTTCAGCTGTCTGCCTCCAGGACGGGGCGGCGGGGGGGTGGGGGGGGGGCGGGGTGGACTAACATCTGTGTAGGTTCCTGAGGTGCAGATGCCAGGCTCTGTGCATTAGGGATCGTAGGCTGGTTACTTAAGACTGATGCTGTTTGTTCTCGGGACGTTTGGTTGAACTCACAAGTAAAACAAGTAAAACCATCTGGGCCTGGAGCTTTCTTTGAGGGATTTTTTAAAATGTGTATTAAATTTCTGTAATGGCTCTGTAGATACTTAAGTTCTAATCTTCTTGAATTAATTTTGGTAAGGTCAGTTTGTCAAGGAGTTTGTTCATTTCATCAGTGTTTTCGAATTAATTGTTCATGCATCCTCTCCTGACCTTTTAGGTTCCTGTAACATCTCATGTTCTTGCTTAGTCTAGTTTATTTGTTCCCTCGTTTGTTTTTTTTCTTCCTGTCGGTAGTCTTGTGAGAGCTGCGTCCTGGCCGGGAGCCGCCTGTGCTCGGTCCCCACGCATGTGTTTGTTTCATGAATTTCCAGTTTGTCTCTGTTGTTTCTTCTTTCTACTCTCTTTGGACTTTGTGCTCCTGCTGTCCCTTTCCGACGCTGTGACGTGGGTCCTGTGTCGTTAACTCGCACCCCTCAGTCCTGCTGTGTGCGTTTAAAGCTCTGTTTCACTCCCCTTCTTCAGGTGCATTCTACAAGTTCACATGTGTAAGTTTTTCATTTCCCAATATTTTCCAATTTTCATCATGTTTCTTGTTTGACCTGTGTGTTATATGGGCATGTTTTTACATTTCTGAATTTAAAGTTTTTTCAAATCTTGATCATAATGATTTCTGATTTTCCTGTGTTTTGGTCAGAGAGCAAAATACTGAATAACTCCAGTATTTTAAAATTCACGGAGCCTTGGTGTGGCCTGCTCGGTGGTTTGTTTCCTCCGAGTCGGCTGTTGGAGATCCGGGTCTGACCGTGTCCGTTATGTGAGATCTGTCGTGTGGCTCATATCTTCTGCGTGCTCGCCGATGTTTTCCTCTGTTCTGACTACAGGGTGTTCAGAGACAGAGGTGTCAGAGATCCTCCATGTGGTTGTGGGCCTGTCTGTTTCTCTGCATAGTGCTGTCCACTTTCGCTTTTGACACCGTGAGGTCATTTGCACTCGAGTCTCTGTTTCTCTTGCACTTTGGCTCCGGCATTGAGTGACTCTCCGTGGTGCTGGTCCCGAGTCCATCTTATCTGTTACGGTTAGTAACCATACCAGCTTACTTTGGGCAGTTTTTTGCCTAGTGTAATTTGCACATTTTTTTACTTTCAGCCTTTTGTATTTTTATTTTATTTTTTTAAAGATTGTATTTATTTATTTTTAAAGGGGAAGGGAGGGAGAAAGAAAGGGAGAGAAAGATTGATGTATGAGAGACACGGATCAGTTGCCTCTCACACGCCCCCAACTGGGCACCTAGCCCACAACCCAGGCATGTGCCCTGACCAGGAATTGAACCAGAGACCTTACAGTTTGCAGGCCGGCGGCGCTCAGTCCACTGAACCACACCAGCCACGGCAGGTATTTTTATATTTTAGATGCATCATTTGTCAAGGCATGAAAACAGGACATTTTAAAAATCATTCTTTTTTTTTTTTTTTGTCTTTTGACTGGACCACTTAATCCATGAGCACTTATTATAATTGTTGATATATTTAGATTTATATCTGCACTGGTTACTATTGCCATATAACAAACTGCCTCGACAACTGTCTTCCTGCTTCCTGCATCTGAGTCTGAGCACGCGGCAGGTGGTGCTCAGAGCTGCCCCTCCACCGGTCTGGCCCGGGCTCCTCAGTGGCATGTCTTTTCATGGCTTCCTAGCTCATTATTTTTCTCACTGAGTAACATTCCTTCGCACAGGTGTACAGCTGTTTGTTTGCCTTTTTTATCTCTTGGTGGACATCTTGGTTGCTTCCAATTTTGACAGTTATGAATAAAGCTGCTATGAATATTCATGTGCAGCTTTTTATGTAGAGATAATTTTTCAGCTCATTTGGATAAATACCTGAGAGTGTAATTGAGTGTGCTTAGCTTTGTAAGAACCTGACAGGTTGCATTTGAGGTCATGCTTCCCAGCATGTCATCAGTTTCACTCAATAAACTTATAAAAATTAAAAAAAAAATAAATAAACTGCCAAACCACCTTTTCAAAGTAGCTGTGCCATTTTGCATTCCCACCAGCAATGAATGAAATTTCCATTGTTCCACATCCTTGTCAGCACTTGGTGGTGTCGGTGTTTTCGGTTTTAGCCATTCTAATGGGTATATACAGGGGTGGGCAAAAGTAGGTTTGTCTGCAGTTCTCTGGTGACATAGACTGTTGACCACCTTTTCATGTGCATGTTTTCCATCTGTGTTATCTTCTATGTGAGGTGTTTGTTCAGATCTTTGCTCTTTTAATTAGGTTGTTTCTTGTTCGTTTTCTTATTGTTGAGTTCTAAAGTTCTTTGTATCCTTTAGCAGATATGTGTCCTGCAAATATTTTCTCTTATACAGTCTTTTAAAGCTCTTTTAAAAATTATCTTAATGGTGTTTTTCACAGGGCAGAAGTTTTTAATATTAAGGAAGTCCAACTTATCAATTTTTCTCCCATGAATCTTGCTTTTGGTTGATTTGCCTAAAAACTAATTACCAAACCCAGGATCTAGATCTTCTCCTATGTTATATTCTAGAAGTTTTGTAGTTTTTTTTTTTAAATTTACATTTAAGTTTATGACCCATTTTGAGTTTGCAAAAGGTGTAAGCTTAGTGTGTTGATTCATCTTTTTGCCTGGTTACACCACTTCTTTATCCTTCCTCTTTTGATGCATTTGGAATTTTCATCTGAAGATCAGACAGAGCCTCAAATGTGTTGTGTCTGTTAATGCAACCTTTTAAATTAGGGTCTCTTAAATTGGTCAAGATCTTTTCAAATTTTGGTTCTTTCCTCCATGCACTTAATTGCATTGATTAATTTTTTGCAAATGCTTATTGAGTGCCTACTGTGAGGTATACCCTGTCTAGGTGTTGGGGATACAGTCAGAACAAAACAATCTTTTCCCATCTCTCCTGATAGAGCTCCCATGCAAAGTGTGAAAGGAAGGGGTGCAGAAAGGAAGCTCACGGATAAACATTTGATTTGTCCAACGGAGATGAATGCCAAGGAGAAAAATCAAGCAGGGTAAAGAGACTGAAAATAGGGGGGGTGTTAGTTTAGTTCCAAAGGCCAAGGACAGAGACCAGAAGGGACTGAGTGAGCGATGGGGCTGCTCCAAGACAGGAAGAACCCAAGCCTCGCACTGCGGTCAGGGGTCAGGGCGGGAGTGCACTTGGGCGTTTAGGGGGTGGGGCAGTGTGCTCGGAGTGGAAGGAGCCAAGGGAGACCACAGAGAGGATGAGGCTGGGAAGGAAGGAGGGGCAGGATTGTTGCTGTGTCTCCATGAGGTGAGCAGTAAATCACCTCCTCCCTCCGCTGTTGGTGAAGAGGTGTGTGGGAAGAGGCTGCAGGGGGGAGCCCAGAAGACAGGTCACTGAGAACCGGCCTGCACGCTGATGTCACTTCACTGAGCATTGCGCTTTGAGCCTAGACGTCGTTACTTAATTGGTAACTCATGTCATTGTACTCCAACCCATTATTTCCATACTTTCCCACCTGGTCCCCAAGAATATTATCCAATAGCTGGGCAGGTGCCTTGCTGAAAACCGGATGCAATGTCGGACTGGTCTCCCAGACGCGCCGATCTGGTCATCTGTCAGAGAGGAGGGGGAGGCGGCTTCTGAGGGGCTTCCTTCTTGGTGGCCCCATGTGGATTCCCAGTAATCATCCATTTCGGGGGCTCACAAACCATTCTTTTGATTAGGATAGGCACATCTTTTTAAAGGAATATTTGAAAATATATAAAGCCAGTCATTTCAATTTTTAGAATAAAAGCAGGACCATTGACCATAGAGCTAAGTGCTGTTAGTTCAGGGACTTCTCTTCCCTTTGTGTGAACGGACCTGCTGGCCCAGACGCTGCAGCCTGCCTGAAGTCCAGGTCTTCCATCTCTGCCCACTAGTGTGTCCGCTCTAGTGCCGGCGGGGGGAGCGCTTCCTTCTCTCAGCGTCGTCAGTCGCACCGTGTCTGTTAAAGTTCAGCGTTTGGTTTTAGAGGCGGCGGCTCAGGTGGTTCATTTACTTTACACACATAGCTGAGATGCAATATCACTGATAAAAATGGTGATGCCTCGGTACGTTTTGACTAATTTCAGTCGTCCCTGTGGTTTATGTACAGTATTTCTGTGTGCACTGGTGACCTTCTTTGATTGAGTACAGTGCCAGTCATGAACGGTTACCTTGCTCACACACAGCCGAACAGCAGCATAATGGGGGAGCTCTGATTATCCGCCCCCCAGCATTTAAAAAGTACCGTATTTTGCCACGTATAATGTGCACCCATGGTTTTGGCCCAAAGTTTCAGGAAAAAATCTTTTGTTTTAATTTTTTAAATTCATGATTTATTTATATTCAGATACTTGTTTTTTGTATTATAAAGGAATTTTAGCACTAACTTTTGAACATACTATGGCACAAGAAATTTTATGTAACAAGTAATTACAAAACACAAGAAGAGATGTGAGGTATTTCAGCTACTACCCATGTATAATTCACACCCTTATTTTCCCCTCAAAAATTTGGGCAAAAGAAGTGCACATTATACATGGCAAAATACGGTAATTTTGTTGATAAGGAAATTAAGATCCCGAGAGTTTAAAGCCACTCAGCTAAAAAAGTAGCAGAGCTGAGACTTAATCTAGGTCTCTTGGGCTCCCAAATCTTTGCTCTTTTCCTTCTGTTTCTCTTTCTCGTCTGTGTTTCCACCTGACTCCCTGCCTTCGGAGGAAAGCTGCCGGTAAGTGAGGTCCTGGAGTCCACGCTGGACTGGGGTGGCCCTGCGATGAGCCCACGGTGCGACTGAGACAGACCAGGAGAGGGGCTGATGGGACGGTTCCGGAGGTCCCTCCGGCTCTCAGGGCACAGAGCCGTGAACACCACACACACTGCTTTGTTAGCTTTCAGCGGTTCGTGTCTGTCATTCATACAGAATTTAAGAGAAGACTCAGTGTAAAACTTTACAGAAAATAGCCTGTATTTTAAACCTGTCACCAGTGGCCCCGGGATGATACATTTACCAGAGGCGTCCTTTGTGTTCCAGACAGATTATGAGGGCCAGGCCAAGAAACTGCTGGAGCTGATGGAGAACACGGACGTGATCATTGTGGCCGGAGGCGACGGGACGTTGCAGGAGGTGCGGCCCCCGTCCTCCTCTCTGAAACCACGTTGGGGGGGGGGGGGGCGGGAAGTTGGCCACAGACCCACGGCACACAGTGGGCATCGTTTAAGAAAAGGGTTCCTTCCTACCCAGGTCCCAGGATCCTTTCCCAGACAAGCGCAGCATTACGTTTTTCTCAGGTGCCCTTTGTTTGAAGTCTGATGAATTTGAGAACAACAGGAAACCAGCTGGCGGTGGGCGCGATAAGCCTCTCATGGTTTGGAGACCGCCAGTCCTGGGGATCATAGTTTCGGTTGCGAGGGATGTTCCTTGGGCAGTAAACCAGGTTCCCCTTAGCAGAGGCACCCGTTCATTCTCGCCTCACTTCCATCCCACGTTCTCTGCCCCCCGTGTTCCGATGGCGGCCCCCGCCTGTGTTGTCCACTTCCACACCCTGCTGCTCACTCGGGCCGGCGAGGCTGTGAGCGTGTTGCCTTGGAGAGCTCTTTTCCGAGCAGTAGACTGGAACCTACTGGCCCCCCCGCCCGCCACCGGATGTGGGAAACCAGCGAGGGGTGCAGCCCCCGGCGCGGGCCGCCCTCCGCGCAGTCTGTGTCCTGTGACCCCGTTCACACCGCACCTCGCTCGGATGCCCTTTTGCCTCCGCGTGGTGGTCTCCCCGGTGTTCAGCCTTCAGGAGCTGGCCCTGCAGACAGCGCACTGTTCTGTGCTTTGTTCGGCTTAGCAATCATGTGAGCCTTAGTACGCTGCTTTTAAAAAGTCTGTGCTAATGGTCTTGTAATTGTTTTAATGGCTTTTTAGTGAAGTGTGAAGACTGATGGCATGTCAGCAAAGAATGCAGCAGACCTCATGACAGCCCCCTCTGACCCTAAAAGGCACTGAGGCAGGAGGTGAAGGGAGGAGATGGGCATCAGCCTTGACTTCACAAAGTCTTCTTAAGAAAGATTCCAGTTGTGTATTCGATATAATCCAGCCATAAAAAAATATGTCCTCATGAAAAGGGAATTAGAGGGAAATGTACCCAAGTATCAACAACTGATTGATGATGGTTACTCTGCAGAGCAGGTTTATGAGGAAGTGTTTTTTCTTCAGGTAGTGTTCGGTTTTTACAAGACACAGTGGACTGTATTTTACATGTAAAAATAAGTTGTGTAAGAATGCCAGTGGAACGTATCCTTGACCAGAGGGCCCGCGGTCCCCCGTCTCTGTGCTCGTCGGTGAGCGGCGGTCTTCTCCCAGGGTAGCAGGGGCGGCCCTCTCCTGCGTGCGCACTTGACCGTGGCGCACTGGGGCCTTTGTATGATTGAGGTGAGCAGCGCGTGTGTGCCCATCTTCTAGGCCTGAAAACGTGATTTTGCTAATATAATGTGGAGAGCTGAGAATTCTTCTGTCTTCGTTTTTATTGTACAAGGGGCCTTCGGTCAAGGATAAAATTTAGTTTAGCTCTGACCCCGTTGGAGAATCCTGTGCATTTCAAGAGCCAGTACAGCTTCTGCCATCGTTTCCAGGGGGAGAACAGGAACAAGTCTGTGGTCCATGAAAATCGAATCTGGTTCTTTTATGACCAAGGAAATACATGCTGTCCATACATTTTTTTCTTTCACATTTGTAGGTTATTACTGGAGTTCTTCGGAGAGCAGATGAGGTAAGCGTTTTAAGAAGAGTCATTGCATTTCAGCTTTTATGTTTCTGTTCTCTCTTCGCTTCCTCCTCTTACCTTTTTGCCCATTTCCTGCTTGACATAGGTTGACATAGGTTGTGCGCCCGTGGATTTTGGAAAGACAAGCACGGCTCCCGTGTCCCAGGGCACCGGGTTCACCCGCGGTGGGCTCTTCTGCCTTGGGAATCCAGGGTATCCAAGCGCTTTTACCAAGAGTTGTTTAAAATACAACTTTTCTGTAAAAATCTTTTTCAAAGGATTCCTTTATAAGTAAATCGTGGCACATTCATATACTGGAAGGCATACAGACGTTAAAATGAATGAACTGCATTTATAAGTATTTACACGCTGAAATCTAAAAAATATTAAGTAAAAAAAGCAGGTTCCTGAAGTATGTTACGCATTTCTGTGAAGTTTTAAAGCTGAGAAGACAAGCGTCCTGGCAAGGATGCTGTACATGGGACAGCGAGGACGGAGAGACCCCCATGGCCTCCTCGGGAGACCGGCCCCTCTGCGGTGGGGGGAGGGGAGTGGGAGGGGAGGGGGAGAGGGGGCCTCAGGTGTATCTCCATCATTTCATTTCTCGCACCATCAGAAGCAAAGGGGTAACGTTTGTTAGATGTGGGCTGTGGATGTATGAGTGTGACATTATTTTAAACATTTTTCTGCAAGAATTTAAAATATGTTGCAGATAAAACAAGAAAGAAGACCCTTCCCAGTCCCTTGGGTAATAACAGTAGCTTGTCTTCAGAATAGTCCTCAGGGACCTTACAGTGTCTCCTTATTTGTGGTCGCTCATTCCATCGACGGCTGTGCCGTCCCCTCCTCCTGCTCAGACTGGCTGACTCGCTGCCATGTTTGGGCTGGAGATCGTTTATAAGGCACTTTCACCTGTCGCCAGTGACTGTGCATTCACTTGGGTATTCGTGGTTGGATTTTATCTGCAACCTCGTCAAACAGTGCGACAACATAATACAGCCTCTGTCACCATTGTCTATTTGTCTAATAACTTTAAGATCCCCATTTTTTTTAACCAATATTTTTTCAACCAGTTGTTACCGACGAGTACCAGAGTATTTCTTTCAAATTCAAAGTCATGTTGTCTTCACGGACCCCCTGTTTTAGAAACCGCTTACTCAGGGTTGCCCGATGGCCGGTCTAGGGGCGGGAAGGGAGACCGGGAGGTGGGCCCAGGGTCACTTCCAGTCGCTTGTCAAAGGAGGCACCCCTGTGCCTGCCTGTCCGGCATGATTGTCTGACCATAACAGTAAAACCCGCCTCTTTCTCCCCACCCCCGCAGGCCACCTTCAGTAAGATCCCCATCGGCTTCATCCCGCTGGGGCAGACCAGCAGTTTGAGCCCGACCCTCTTCGCCGAGAGTGGAAACAGAGTCCAGTAGGTTGTCGCTGCGGGCGGGGGGTGTCTGTGGCCGAGCGAGCCCGGGAGTGGACGGTTCACACGCGGGATGTGATAGTGGTTTTGTGCCTTGATAGCCTGAAACCTCCAGTCACTGGGGACCTGGACCAGAGGTTAGCCTGTCTGTTCCCCGGTCGGGCTGTGGGACTCATGTGCCCTAACCCAAGTCCCCAGGCCAGGTACGGAGATGTCGCCGATGTCCTTCTGCCCTTTGTGAGAGGGTCTCTCACAAAGAGACCCTCCCCAGACTGTGTTCACGCTTTTGGGTTGTACGAGTCTCTAGTGAAAAACAGATTGGCACTAATCATTTGTCTGTTTTAACTATACACGATGACAAATAGCAAGCTCTCTGAAAACGGAACCAGTAGCCTTGTCTTTATTATCTGGTAATATAAGTAGCTGAAACAGCGACAGGGAGTCACACCGGTGGGGCAGTGCCCACGGAGGAAAGCCCGTGGAGAAAGCAGGCAGGCGGGGCAGGGCGGGGCAGCACGGACGCCCAAGTTCAGCTGCTGTGACTCCAGCAGTGTCCTCGGGAGTCGGGCAGGCTGCTCCTGCTGCTGCTTTGCTCATTTCTGTCCAAAGCATCAGTACACCAAGCTCTGGGCTTTCCAGTAGATAGGAACCTTGAATTTGAGTCTTGAATTTGACAGTGATGAATAATATAATCTTGAACAAATTGTTTCCAGGCTCACTGTCAGTTGCCTGACCTTTAATGAAAGCGTGTTACACCTGAGGGGGGGTTAATAGATAGATGAATAGTGAATTTGTTCATTATTGAATTAATTGTTGAATAAATTAATCAGAATCTTAGGATTTCTGGTTATAACCTAGAATCAATAACAATAATAATTCTCAGGTGATTTTCTTCTTTGAAATTCTTTTCTTTGGGAATTTGTTTCGGCCAGTTTTGTGGTTTTATTTTTGCTGTTGTAATTTTAGGAGTCATCTTATATGTTTTAACAATTCTACATTAAAAAAAAAAAGCCTGGGGGGTCCATACAGCAAACACTAGGCACACACGGAGCTGTATAGCAGACCTTCCTTAAAATGCTTCTCCCACTCCCAGCCTTCATCTGGCCGGCCCAGCTCTTCGCCAGTCACCCTGAGGCCGTTTCGGGCTGCCAGACTTTCCGTTCCCAGTGTAGGCTTTCCAGGGGGCAGCAGACACGACCATGAATCACTCAGTTTTGCATATCTAAGATGAACCCTATCCGGTGGGTCCTGGTTGCTTCAGAGAGCTCGTCTGTCCCTTGGTGTGAATACAGGTGTTGGAGCTGCGTAGCCAGCACTCCCAGACGCGTCTGTGATCCAGGAGGCGGTGGACCTTGCTCCTCGGAGAACCCCTCGCCTTTCCGAAAGCCAGCGTGTGCTCAGTGTGGCCCCCTGAGGTCTGCATGGCCTTCGGTCTGGGGGAAGCTGGTTTTCCTCTGAGTTACACTAACGCTGTTGCTGCTTCTGTTTCCAACTTAAACATTTAGAAAACTTACTGCAGAGCGCACCCCAGGGCTCTTAGGTAATTAGTCTGCCCTGGGTTCGGAGCTGTGCAGACCTCCTAACATGGCCGGTGCCCGAGGCTATTGTAGGGAACAAGGCTTCGCTTCTTGTACTGCTGTCAAGGTCTGTGGTGCCAGGGTCAGTGGGGGAGAGAAGGGGATCGGGGATGTGCAGGGAACTGATCACGGAACAGTAGCTGTTCTGTGCTGTAATGCTGATTGATTTAGAACTTGCAGGTACTGCTGGAGAGTGATGAATTTAAGGTTGCATTTTAGCCGTCTTCTGCAAAAACAATTTTGGGGGAAAAATGACTATGAAAAGGCTTTTTTTATTGCAGCATTTGGTTTTAAGGTCCGTCTCTCAAAAGCACTTCCTAAGCCTGTAGCCGTGCTAGCCACTCCTCAGAGCGAGCACAGAGCTTCGGAACCCGTTCCCACGGCTTCCTCGCAGCGAACACGCTCGTTTCGGCCACACCGGCCACCGTGCTTCCTGCGTTTTCCTAACTGAGTCTCGTTTTCTAAAGGGCTGCCCACTTCACGGGTAGCATCTGTATTGGAAGGGAAAAGATGGGGTAAAGGCGTTTCAATGAAGAAGCATGAGAAAGTAAAAACAGGTGGTTTCGTGTGTTCCAGCATGCTTACTGAGCAACCCAGAACGTTACCTAAGTATTTGCATTAACGTGTATATTTGGGGGTTTTGAAGCATCTGAAGTTGTATGTAACTTTGTTGGCAACACCCATTCAAGCGGATATGACTCCTGACTCGGGTGTGCACATTTTCAGCTGGGCCGCCCCGATGGGGACGTCTGTGGGGCACAGGTCTTAGACGTGGGCCTGCCCCTGGGGGTCCCTGGTGACCCGATCGCTGTGTCTGAGGCGGCCTCACAAGGTGCAGGGAGCGCACCTTTGGGGTGAAGATCTGGAGTCAGTGTGGTCTTGCCACAGGCTTGCTCAGGATTTTAGGAATTTTATGTAATTTCTCTGAACCTCACTCCCCTCCTGCCCCCCGTATTTGTCAACTGCACAGTAATGGTACTTATCTCAGAAGATTGTTTACAAACCAAAATAAAGACTAGCCGGGTAAATATGTAATCATGCTTAGGATGATTCGCAATACAGTGAAGACTTTATGCCTATTATTGAAAACTTTTTTAGGATGGAAAATAGTAAATAACAAATAGGATGACTATATAATTACTGAGATTAGATTTTATAATTAAATTCTCTTGCAAACTGTTTTACAAAACAGTTTTTTTTTTAGTATTTTAGAAAGTATTTAGTTTTTAGGAAGTATTTTTTTAAAAAAGGAAAGAACAGCCCTGGCTGGTATGGCTCAGTGGATTGAGCGCTGGCCTGCAAACCAAAGGGTTCCTAGTTCAATTCCCAGTCATGGCACATGCCTGGGTTGTAGGCCAGGTCCCCAGTAGGGGGCGTGTGAGAGGCAACCACGCATTAGTGTTTCTCCTTCTTTTCCTCTCTGGAAATAAAATCTAAAAAAAAAAAGTACTATATTGAAATAAAAAAAAATTCTGAAAAAAGAGGAAAACATTTTATAGGTATTCCTGTCACTTACAATGAAGATGTGACTTGCCTATCAAGTTCACATTATTAATCAGAACTGTATAGAGCAGCCAATGGTGTGGCTCATTGGATTGAGCATTGGCCTGCAAGCCGAAAGGTCGCCAGTTCAGTTCCCAGTCAGGGAACATGCCTGGGTTGTGGGCCAGGTCCCTAGTTGTGGACATGGGAGAGGCAACCCATTGATGTATCTTTCCCTCTTTTTCTCCTTCTCTTCCCCTTTCTAAAAAAATTAAAGTTAAAAAAAGGAACTGTACAGAGCAGAATAAACTAGGAAGGGCTGTATTAAGAGAGAAGCTGCTCTTTTTTGAATGGAAACTAAAGTAATTTCTAAATAACTCCTGTCTGGCAGCTGTACTTAAACTCCAGACACAATACATTTTTCACTTTAGTACTAATAACAACTATATTTATTTTTCTAAAATATATATAGCAATAATAAAAGCAATGGAATACTAATATTGCGAAGCTTTTAGAAAAACCTGGACTGCTTAGGGATGAGTCCGACAAAGCATGTGTAAGATTTATATGGTGGGAACTGCAAAACACTGAAGAGAGAACCGAGGCCCACATGCGTGGGAAGACGCCTGTGTTCACGCCACTCACCATTCACGGCTCGGTAGTTGGCTGTTGGCTGTTTCTAAACGGACGCGTAAGGTCAGTGCAGTCCCAGTCAGAGTTCCTGGAGACTTGTTGAAGAAACTGGCAAGTAGAGTCGAAAATTCATATGGGAAAACAGAGGACCAGAGTAGACAGAATAATTTAGGAAAAGAGTAAAAATTTTTGAGGACTTATTTCAAGGTTTACTCTGAAGCTACAGGAACCCAAGGCAGCCTGGTGTCGGCATGAGAGGAAACAGAGAGATCAGTAAAAGAAAGTGTCTGGAATTAGGCCCACACGTATGTGGACACTTGTTTTGTTTTGTTTTGTTTTTGACAAAGGCCTTCAGGCAATTCAGTGGAGAAAGTGAACACAGCTCCGTGGTGGAGGATTACAGGGAAGGACCACGTCTAGGCTGGTTAGGGCAGGAGGAGATCCTGAGGGTGGGAAAAGGTGGGAAAAGCCAGCGATGCGGACGGTGGGAGGCAGGCTGGGCCAGGAGGGGCTTGATGTGGGTTCCCTCCTCCTCCCGGCTCCAAGGGCAAACACCTGCTTGTCCAGCCACGTGGTGATCTATGGTTTCTTTTGCCGACTGTCTGTGTGTATTAATGTGTGTCTGACCCTGGCTCGAATAGAGTATAAACTCGGGAACGGTTTCTAAGCCTGGCATAGTTTCACGTCCTGCGTCGATGTCAGTAGAACATGCCTTTTTCATGTGTGGATTTTCAGCCGACTGTCAGAATGTGGAAAGGAATGGTATTGTGTCTTTGAACAAAAGAGTCAGCAATTAAAATGAAGTACATCCTAGTAATCTTGGAAAGTAAGAGAACTGTGTTTTGGGTTCTGGACTATATTTTGCTGAGATAACTCCCATATGTCATCTCCTTTAGTTACCCTTGGGTTGTTGTTAGGGCAGTAAGAAATACTGCTTTGTGAGTTTCTTAAAATGATTGAAACACATTCTGTTGTTACCCTTTGGAGTAGCAGGGCGTTTTCCAGTAATCAGGATCAGGTGTGATGTGGAGACGCAGTGAATGTCAAGTAATTAAATGATTGGTGCCTGGTATGAACTTCTCTTTGCCAAAGCCTCCCCTTCGAGTCTGGACCAGAGCCTCCCACTGTATTTGTTGAGTAATTCTTTCATACGTCTTGGTTCTGTTTTCCCAGAGTGTCTAGAAGGACTGTGTCTCCTTTTCCTGAGCCAACTATTAGTGCTGTGGGCCGGAGTGTGTGTGTGTGTGTGAGCGTGTGTGTGTGAGTGAGTGAGTGTGTATGTATGTGTGGTGGGGGAGGTGTTGCTTATTCTTCACAACACAACCACTTCCTCCTTGGTGTCTTGCAGACGTATTACCGACGCCACACTTGCCATTGTGCGAGGAGAGACGGTCCCACTTGATGTCCTGCAGATCAAGGTAAAGTCCTCTCCTGAGTTTGAAAATGTTAACAAAGCAACACACGTAAAGAAAACAAAATGTTACCGTCGAACTGAGATGATGAAAACGACAGTCCCCCTTACCCTTTCCTACCCCAAGTACAGCTCCCCGGAGAAAAACAATTTCACCTGTTTCTTCTACTTACCACCAGTAAGTGTTTTAGTGATGCTACTTCTGAAAATCGTGGTTAAAAATACACATAGAATTTACCGTTGTAACCATTTTAAAGCATACAGTCCAGCGCTGCGAAGTCTGCGATACTAGTTTTTGATTTACCCATTTTTGACCTTATCTCCTAGCCTCTTCGTCACATCCGAGACTTTGTCTGTGTTTTCCTCCCAGTGTCGCTGTGTCACTGTTTTCAGTTCCCCTGTTGATTGCCTGTGGGCCCCGGGCGTACCCCTGCCTCGGTGGCTGTTCTGAGCACTGGAAGCGCCCGGGTGCTCTGGACCAGACCGGGCTGGTTTCTCCTCCCCCTGCCCCGTGTGCATGGGAGCTGCCTCCGTCTCCCAGGTTCCGCCGGCAGGGAAGTCCCTCTCGTGTCCCGTCTGTCCTTCGCCGGGCCTTGTCTTCCTTTGGGATTCAGGTCACTGGGTTGTCTTACAGTCTCGGCCCCCTGACGGGCATGAGAAGGGGTTTGATTCTGTAGATCATCTGGCTCTTTCTCATGTTCAGAGAGCGCTGTTCTCGGGAGCGCCCAACATCCCTAGATGGGAGCTGAGCTCCCCCTTTTCCGCCGGGTGGTCCGACGTGCTCGGGCTGAGTTGTTGGCGAATGCATGAGTTGCTTTAGGGAGATGCTCACCGGCTCTGCAGCTGCGTTGCTGAGAACCGGCGACTCCCCACAGCCACGGGCCTCCCTGGCACCCGGGCCTCGGTCTTGGGAGCCGTTCTCTGAGCTAAGGGGCCAGGACTCTCTGAAGGGCTGGTCTTCAGAGGCGGGGCGAGGACACGGCGGGGAAGTACTCAAAACTCCGAGAAGTACTCAGTACTCCTCGGGGGTGTCTGTAATGATGCCCGCCCACCTCTCACAGACTCGTGAGAACAGCTGCAGTAAACGTGACCCGCTAAAACCAAGTAAGCTTGGTATTTCCCAACTTACTACACCACCGACTCGGTCACTATTACTCTTAGCAGCAGTTAGTGCCACGTAATAACAGCTTACAGGCCGTCGGGGGAACTGCTCCTGTGGTCCGGGCAAACGCACACAGTGCTGCCTCTCACAGGCGAGAGCGCCCTTTCTCCTTCATTTCTTTTCTCTCCACGCTTCCCCTGGCTCCCCCCGATTCTTCACCGTTTCATTGGTTTTGTTGTGAATTTTATGTGCATTTCCCCCGAAGGTCCCTTGCCCCCCACACACTTGCTACACAGTCATGTGCAGCTGCTCCGCCCTGTCGTGATTCTCGATGCTGTTGGAACCTCCCGCGCGGTATTGTAGGTACTGTAGGTATTGTAGGTATTGTATCGGCTGTGTCTGACCCCCACTGCACCCGGGCGCCTTGAGAGCAGACGTTTTGTTATTGCTGGCCACTAACATATAACATGTATCTGTTAAGCAAAGGTCTGTGTGGAGCAAAAATGAATGAACGATTAGCTTAGTCTGGTGGGAAGACTCAAAGCCCTGCTCTGTCCAGCTCTGCACTTGGCCCCAGGAGACGGGTGTGTCCCGCACTGCCGGCCAGAGCGGCCTCGCCCACCCCCTTCTGCTCTCCCGTCTCTCGTTCCTTCCCTGTGCTCTCACAGGCACAGAAGGTAGAGAAGCAGACTGGCTGCTTGAGCAGGCGCACAACCAAGGACTCAGCGGCCTTGACTGTTTGTGTGTGACTCTCCCAGAAACCCCTCCCTGGGTTCGGGTGCCGTGGGAACAGGCGTGAGGGTGGGACTGAGGGCGGAGCACGCCCTCCCTGAGGACTGTTAGCCGACCGCTCCAGGCCGGCACCTCCGGGGTCAAGGATTGTCCTCCAGCTCTGAATGTCCTGCTCACGTGGCCTGAATCTTCCGCTCACACTGGAAATCGAGCCCATTCAGCCCCGTCCCCCACCTGCCCTGGTCTAGGAAACGGCGGCGTCATGTCTGGTGCTGGGAGGCTCCGGCTGGAATGTGGGGTACTCGGGCTTCAGCTGTGATTCGGAGCTGCGGAAGCCCCCCGGCGGGTGTATGTGTTACTCAGACTTGAAGGGAGGGCCATCGCGGAGCAGGAGCGCTCTGAGGTGGTGGCTGCATCGGCGCATGTTCCCTTACTGTGTATGTCCACCGCACATCTCACGGGTTTATTAGAAACTCGCTGGTTACAATATGTGTGGGCAACATTTCACCATGGAGTGTTGGGCTAGACCAGGCCACTCTGTGTTCTGACCCATGAGGATGAGTGTCTGACTGCTCTCACGTTCAGGTGACGCGTTCTAGAGAGCCAGGGTGCTGCTCGCACCTGACAGTCCTCGGCCTCCGAGGGGCACGCAGGCCCACCTTACCTGGGCCTTGGTCAAGTGTGTGGGAGCCGACATCGGTCTGAAAACCAGCCTCGCTGGGTCCTCCTCAGTCCTCAGCGTGAAGTGCATGCAGGTTCCCTCGCAGCCGATTCGTGAGGCCCAAGCACAGAAATCACTGTCACGTGGAGTGTGGTTTACTCGCGCACTCTCACTGAGCATTCACCGAGTTGATTTCTTAAATTGCGAACATCCTTTTGGATTCTGATTTGATGAAAAGGAGGTCGAGACCCTTTGCTGGGTGCTTAACCTGCGCAGAGCTCCAAGCTGCCGTAATCACTAATTCCAGTGAAACCCCTTTGTCTTCCAGGGCGAGAAGGAGCAGCCCGTGTTTGCGATGACCGGCCTCCGGTGGGGGTCCTTCCGAGATGCTGGCGTCCAAGTTAGCAAGTAAAGACTTCCTCTGTGGATGCGTGACGGTTGTCGTAAAAAGTTTTTGTCTTCTGTTCCTCTCCTCGATGTGTCAGTATGCATTGATCTTCTGGGGATAGATGTGGCGGGTCTGGAGTTGTGTGCACAACTAGTGGAGATAAAGTTCGTATCTCATTGCACAAAGGCTGGGGCAGCTCCGGCTTCCCCACACTGGCGTGGTGGTGGCTGGCGTGGTGGTGGCTGGCGTGGTGGTGGCTGGGGGGACAGGGGTGCGGCTCTGTTTCCAGACAGACTGCTGGAGGCTCAGGCTAGACTGCAGGGCACCCGGATGGCCCATCAGCCTGCTTGTCTGGGCGCCAAGTGAAAGGCACCGCTGGGGACACAGCCTGTGGTGCTGTGACAGCCCCGGGAGGTGCTCTTGGGAAGGCCCAGCGGCCTGAGAAGCCCAGGCTGCGTCGCAGGGCAGAAGGAAAGGCAGGTGCTGGCCGCATTGTGAGGTGGAAGGAACAGGCCAGCGGGGGCGGCGATCACAGGGCTGTCACCGCTGGCCCCTCACGGGAACAGACTCATTTTTGGAGACTTCGCTGTGGGACAGGAAGCCCCTGGCCTGGCCAGAGGGGCGTCCTCTTGTGTTTGCTGTTGGGAGGTCCTGGGGGCCAAGACCCCCGGGCAGGACCGAAGGGGTCCCTGGCTGAGTCTCACTCCCTCCATGGTGGATGTTCGCTTTCGCCTTTCCTTACAAACGGGGGCTGCCCATTGTAGTGCAGTGTGAACCAGCTGGGATCGATCTCACGTGTAGCTCTTAGCAAGAAACCCCTCTGTCACGTCGGAGGCCTTCCCGCCACAGCTTCTCCACGGAGACTTCTCTCGCCGCTTCACCCCGTTCGTCCTGCTGTGACGTTCGTCCTGCTGTGACGTTCCCGGTGGTGGACCGTGCAGAGAGAGAGAGAGAGTGCTGGTTTGTGTCCACACGCTGTGTCATTTGGGGTTCCACCGTCTCTGGTCTGCAGTGTGCAGGGTCGTCCTGACCCCACAGCGTGCCCTGCGCTGCATCCGTAGTGTCGGACCGTCCCAGCGGCTCGCCGAGTGGGGTCGCTCCGTGGTCCCCAGAAAAGCCTGCCGAGGACAGACGGCCTCTGAAAGGCGCTGACCAGCGGTGAGGCACCAGCACAGGCCAGGCCCCGGTTCGGAAGACCTCACACCCTTGCCTGTGTTCCGGTGGACTTCAGAACGATGAATTTTCAAATTCCGGTTACTGACACCCCAGCCAGGACTGCCCGTGGGGTTGCTGTGTGTGCTGGGGAGAACCGGTGGGCAGGCAGCGGGGGACTTCCCAGCTGTCGGCATTTGCTGTTGGCAGAGATGCGGCAGCTGCGGGCGGTTTAGGAACAAAGGTTCCAGCCGGGACGCGTTTCTCTCTGGCTGCCTCGGAGCCGGCCGTGACGTCGGCTGATCGTCCAGGTGCCCCCGTGCCCCAGGTCCTCCTGAGCAGCAGCACAGTGCTCACCTGAGCAAGAGGTAGACCGGCCCCACAGTGCTGCCTGGGTTGTCGCTGGGCTCCCAGTGCTGGCGTCCAAGGCCCCTGCTGAGCCCGCCACCATCCCTGAGCACGCAGCCACAGGTCCTTCCTCTGGGGCTGTCACCCTCAGGGTCTCCTGCGCCAAATGGGCTCTTTCCCTCTGTCCCGCATCGAAACCCCTTGCGTCGCAGCGAACCCCACGCCCTCAGTGCGGGCTGGGCTTGAGCCACGCGCTGCACTGGCGCGTCCGGCCCAGGATGCTGGGCCTCAGTGATCCCTCGGCCTTCTTCACGCTCCGCACCAATGAACAGTGGTCCGCCTAGGCCGTGTCACATGTGTTTATACAGTCTTCACTGTTTTCTGTTTCTCTTTTGGACCGTATTTTATAAAACGATCGCCCTCAAAGGCAGGAACTTGATACTCTCTTTCTTTTGCTGAAGAAGTGCAGACCGGTCAGAATCCGGGAGGGGGCGGCTGAGCTGGGCTGGCTGGCGGCACAGACGGTGAGGAGGAGTCTGCCCCACGCCGCTTGTCCCGCTCCACGCGGGCGCCTGAATCTCCCCCCAGCGGCTTCTGGGCAGCAGCTGGCGGCACGAATGGACCCTTCGTCCCGGATGTTACGTTGGCCACTTTAAAGCTGCGTGACACGAGTCGTGTGAAAGCACCTGCTTTACGACGACGTTGACCGCGTGCTGGTGTGTGAGAGAATACTCCAGTGTGTTCTGGGTTGCAGGTGACACCTCAGGGTCACCCCGCTGCACCTCCCTGTGGCCGTGTCACCTGTGCTCTGCTCCCTTTGAGTGAGGGCTTCGCCCCCGTCGGTGGCTGGAAGCTCACGTGACTGCGAGGCTGATGGAGGTGGGGATTCCAGGAGACCGATTGGCTGCCCCTGGCACAGCACGAGGCTCTGTCTGCGTGGCACGGCATTGAAATGCAGATGAAAAGCTGACTGTGATACTCTTTTATGCTAAACCAGGGTCCTCAGAGCAGCCGCTAGTGGAGGTGTGATTGATTCCAGGGGCGCCTCTGTCACGAATGCTGTCTGCTGATCGATCGATCGTTCCGTTAATATTCTAATTAGGTTTTTGTCTTCGTCTTTCTCAGGTACTGGTACCTCGGGCCTCTGAAAACCAAAGCGGCTCACTTCTTCAGCACTCTGCAGGTAAAGGCAGCTCACAGCAAGGGGCTGTGCCCTGCCTCGTTTTGTTGTTGCTCCATGAAGTAACGTTTGAGAAAACGTGTTGAAAAAATGCAAATGTTGTCACTTCGTGATGTCGCCTCTCATGCACCAACTGATCCCCTCCAATACCAGTCCAGCAGTTAATTTCTTTTTAGTATTCCCCTTCCCTTTGCCTGTTCACTCACACGGCTGCCAGACACACCTGGGACAGAACGACCTATCTCATCAGTCATTCGCATGTCTGTACCAGCATCTAGAAATGGATGGGAGGTTTGTATCTTATCATACAGGCTTACACGTGACACAGTAGGTTTCAAACTGTGCCAGCCAAATACACGCAGCGGTTATGGTGTTGGTCGGTGCCGACACAGAACGTGGCGTCGTCAGGGGAGGTCCCGTCTGTGAGTCGGAGGCGTGCTGGGTCCCTGCCGTGGTCCTCTGGGCCTGGGGAGAAGGGGCAAGATGGAGTGAGGAGGGTCAGAAGGTTACTCTTGGGTCACGCACCCCATGGAAACTTGAGAACAAGGGATCAGTCTGCCCTCAGAGGCACGTAAGCCGCAGATAGATTGGGACAAACAGAATGCGGGACGTGACGTCCCAGATGGAATGGTTTCGGTGGCGGTGGGGACCAGATGGGGCTCTGGACGTGAGTGGCTGCCGTGAGGCAGGGGTGACGTCCAGGGCTGGAGGGCAAGGCCGTTGTTTTAGTGACTCCTGCGGACAGTGGCGAGACCCAGGATGACACTGGACCTGGGCTGCCAGGTGGTAGAGACGAAAAGGCTGGAGTGTGGGCACCTTTGTCCGTGAAGCAGCCCCGAGAAGCCCCGAGCGGGCGGGGTCCGAGACACGGCGAGACCGTTCCAGCCTCCGTGTGGAATGTGGTTCCGGACGTGAGCGAGGTGTTAGATGCACCTGAACTTCGTCGGTGCCTTGTCTGTGCCACCGTCAGTGTGCCAGCGACACGTTTATCACGGGGCGGACTCTGCCTCTTTGTATCGGGGGGTTTAGACAAGTACAAGCCGTGGTGGTTAGTCCACTCCTCTCCGCCCCACCTGGCGGAGGTCGGTGGGGGCAGCAGCCCTGGGGGCATGGTTTTCAGGACAGACCCTCGATGGGGAACGAGAGCTGGAGGGTCCCCCGCTCCGCATCGGAGATAAAGCCACCCGGTGAGAGACTAGTCAGCTTCCGGCAGGTTTAGGGAGAGCACGGACCGGCCTTGGCACAGGCAGAGCTCCGCGAGATGGGAATTGTGGGCTCCTGACGGGTGTTTTCCCCTCTCCACTTTCCAAGGAGTGGCCTCAGACGCATCAAGCCTCCCTCTCGTACACGGGACCTAAAGCCAGACCTCCCAGCGTCGCCGACGAGACCCCCCCGCGGCCCTCTCTGTACCGGAGGATCCTGCGCAGGCTCGTGTCGTACTGGGCACAGCCGCAGGACGGTGAGCGGCCGGGTGGCCGAAGGTCGAACGCGCTGGTCAGGTCAGAGCCGCCCAAAGCAGACCCCCGAACCCGCGCTGGGCCTCCCCAGAGCAGGGGCCTTTCAGGGACCACCGTCGGCAGCCTCCCGTGTGCCACCGCGCACAGACCAGCGCAGTGTCCCGTGGTCACGACCACCCCGCGTCATTTGAGACAGACGGTGGCTCCCTCTCTGTCACCACCTTTCTGTACTGCCGGCTGCACTGGGAGGGTGTTTCCGGCACAGAGGTTCCGCTCGGAGCCTGGCCGTTCATCCCACGTGTGGGGGTGTGCCGTGAAGAAACGGGTGGGGGGTCAGCAGATGCGCGGGGGGGACGGAGCTGAGCCGCTGGCCGCGGGTGGCAGGCGGGAGAGGCTACCGGGAGGAACTGACCTGCATCTCGTGCCCCCACACAGCCCTCTCCCAGGAGGCGAGCCCCGAGGTCTGGAGGGACGTGCAGCTGTCCACCATCGAGCTGTCCATCACAACACGGAACAGCCAGCTCGACCTGACCGTGAGTGCACTTTTCTGTTGGACGAGCATTGGTGTCTGGGAAAGCGGACGGAGGAGGCACGCTCTCCCCGACTCAGTGCTCTCACATTTGCCCTGTGGGGCCCAGAGGGAGGTGGTGGCCCAGAAGCTCGTGGGGCCTGACCCCGGGTCTGGGCGTTGCTGGGGAGGCCCGAGGGCAGGAGGCCTTCAGGGGTGAGAGGTGAGCTGCTCTCGTTTGTCACAGGAATGAAAAATCGTGGAGCTTTCACTGGAGAAAACATCCCTTCTTTTTGTGACTATGTTAAATATGTAGGGTTAGGCCCCCAGGGAAAAACACTATATATGTTTTTATTTACACGTGTGTATGTTTACATAGTATCTGAGTCCAGCCTATTAATATGCCCTGTCCAGTGTGGTAGCCACTAGCCGCATGTGGCAATTTAAACTTAAATTAATTAGACTTAAACAAAATTGAAAACTCACTTCCTTAAGCACACTGGCCACCTCATCTGCCGGTGTGGGGGGGGGGCGGGGGGGGCTGCAGACGCCGCTCCAGCGGACGTGGAAACAGCGGGGGTTGGCCGTCTGGCCCAGCTGGGAATTGACTTTACGTTTCTAAGTGGTTGGAAGAAAATGAAAATAATTTGCGATACGCGAGAAGTACATGAAATTCAGGTTCAGTATCTGTAAGCAAGGCTGGGCGGGAGCACAGCTGCATCCCTGCACATACATGTCTTCTGTGGCTGCCTTCACGCTGCGGGGCGGAGTCGTGACGGGCTGGGTGACCCTGGAGCCTCCAGCATCGCTGTCTGGCCGCTCACGGAAGGTCTGCTGACCCCTCGGCCGGAGAAACCCGCAGCAGTGCGTGTTAATGGGAGTGCCGTAGGAAGCGCATCCTTGACTCGAGACTCATCATTGCAATCGGGCTCTATGCAGTCGGGGCAGTGTGTTCACAGTTGACCTGGTCACTCTGGAAACTGGCCCGTGGACGTGACCGTGGTGGTGAACGTGTGCGTGGGCTGGGGTGAGTGGGTGAGGTGAGCGTGCGGCACGTTTGGATTCCAGCGTTGGTATTGAGCTGTCTCCTGATGAGGAAAGGGACGTGTGTGCATTGTGTAATACAGCTCCCTTGTCTTCTGAGTTACTGCCAGCTAGACTCAGAATTAAATGTACGAAAATAGAACCATTAAAGCCCTAGAGTGAAATCTAAGGAGTAGCAATTGAAACTTGGGGAGGGAGCCTAAGGCAGAACTCATATTTTGATGCATTTACGTTTGTATAATTAAAAAAGAACCATAGGCAACATTTTTTAATGACAAGTTGGGGGACATAATCTATAGAATGTGGTAGAGTGGAAGTTAATAGCTTTTCTTTATAACTAACTCCTTAGGATAAATCCATAGGAAAATGGGCAAAGGACTAAAATAAAGAACAGGCAAAGGGCAAGAATAGGAATTCACAAAAGAAATAAAAAATGAGAAAACTAGCTGATATTTACTGAATACATACTACATGCTGTGCACTAAGAATTTTACATATCAACGCATGTAACCTTGATGTCTACATTAGTAGACAGATGTAACTCTTACCTGTGTTTAAAGGTAAGGAAACAGGCAAAGTGTTGAACATGAAAAAATGCAAACTGACACAGCAACTAGCAGGCTGCGGTAGATCAGAAAGCCCGCCGGCGTTAGGTGCTGGTGGGACAGGGCAGGACGGGCAGTCCCAGCACTGCTGATGGGCGCAGAGAGCAGTCGCCCTCCCTCAGTGGCTCCTGGGCTGCGTGTGTGAAGCACCGAGACCACAGTCCTGCCCTGGGCCGGTTGCGTGCGTTTCTAGAACGGATCCTGCAGGAATCACCAGATTAGTGCACAGCGTAGTCAGCCCCCACTTCCTGCATCGTGGGATTCTGGAAACACTGGTGCAGGCGAATGTATTAAGGTTACAACAGACAGATTCCGTTCTAGAAGAATGTCAGAAAGATACGATCTCTGATTACACACTTCCCTTTGACCCAGTCTGATCACACGTTGCTGGTGTTCTGGAGCACCGCGCCTTTCTCCGGCGGTTGGACACCAGCGGACGACTGCGTGCAGGCGTAGGTGACGGTGGCCCAAGACAAGCCCCGTGCAGAAGGCGCAGGGCTTTTGCCTCGGTGCCAGTTTTGAAAGTTGATGACACTGTGCTGTAGCAGCACATTCATTTTCTTCCTTCCACACCCCTCCGTTAAAGTAAAGTCAATAAAATATTCAAAGACAGTGAAGGTGCCAAGTGCTAGCTCCAAATGTTCATTTATCATTCAAAGCAGCGCAGGCAGAGTCTCAGAGGCGTCGGGTGTGGAGCGTGGGACGTGAGGCTCCCGGGCAGCCGTGTTTGCTGTCGTCACGGCGGCACCACACGCGGACAAGCTGATCAGGGGCCCGACTCGGCACAGTTGGGTGCAGCTGTTTAAGGCGTGCCCCTGTAGTGACTGCAGGGAAAGGCGCTCATCATGTATTGTCAGACGAACAACCGGGTTAAAGTGATTTGCACCAAGTGAACTCATTTTTATTTTAAAAAGAAGTGCTTCCACCTGTAATTGAGTTTTGTGGATGACAGAGGTAAGGCCCCAATTTTCATTCTTCCCATGCAGAAGGCGAGTCGTCCAGGCGCCACATGCTGAAGTGCTCTCTCCCCACCAACCCCGCCCTGGCTGCGGAGCCTGGCACACGTCCGGTGTCCGCACGTGCGGAAGTGCCTGCGGCGCCTCTGTTCAGTTGCGCTATTTGTCTACAGTTGTTCTGGTTCTGTGCGTCTCCTAATTAGCATTGTTTTGCAAGTCTGTTTTTTCTTATTTTTGAAGAGTCGCTTGGCCGTTCTTGACTCTTTGGCCTCTATAAATCCCTGGGAATGTTCATCTTCTTAAGTTCCACATAAAAATCTGCTACATTCATCAGAATGACATTGAACCTGCAGATCAGCATGAGAGGAAATGACGTTTCTGCGGTGCCGACTCCCCTGTCAGATGGCTGTGGCCTAGCGCCGTCTTTATTGAGACTTGTTCGTGTCTTCAATGAAGTTTTAGTTTTCTCTATAACATTTTGCCTTTTGCCGGGTATATATGCCTGGTTATCCCAACTTTCGATGTCACTGTAAATAGTATCTCCTGAAATTTCATTTTCTAACTGTCTGATTCAGTAGAAAAATACGTAATTGATTTTTTTACATTGATGCTGAATCAGCGAACTAAATTCATATTAATTATATGAAGTTCGTGGCTCCCTTTGGATTTTCTATTGACTCGGTCATATTGACTGCAAGTAGTGCAAGTTCTGCTCTTTCCTTTCAAACGCTCAGCACTCTGATCTTCGATCTGCCCTTGCTCACCACAGCGGCTGGGGCCTCAGCGCGGGGTGGAGTGGAAATCACTGTCTTACTCCCGAGGGAGAGGGAGAGCGTTCATCGCTTCACGCTTGAGTTTGATGGGGCTTTCTGTAGCTGCCCTTTGTAAGGCTGAGGAAGTTCCCTCCTATCCTGTTTTGCTAAGACTTTATCGTGAGTGGGTATTTAATTTTACCAGGTACCTTTCCTGCTTCTGCTGAGATAAGATTTTCTCATTTAATCTGTAAGTGTAGTACAACACGCTGATTTTTGCGTTTTCACTCTTTGCAAAAGACAAATCCTAGACTTGTGTGTATAACTATCTACTTATCCTCTTAGATGTCTCCTGTACATTTATTTCAGTCTCAGCCTGTCCCGAACTGAGCTGCTGACTCCGCCCCTTGAAACCTGCTTTACCCACCCTTCCCCCACTGCTGTGAACGTCCTTCCGACCTTGCATTGATTCAGGCGTCTCAGAGCCACTCGTGGCTGCGTTCTCCACACATCTGATCTTTGAGGAAGTCCTGGTGGTTCCCCCTTCCAATATGGCCAGCGCTTCACCGGACCTCCGCGCCGCCTGATCCACGTGGTACAATAGGTTCCTGCGTGGTCTCCCCTCTCCCCCGCTCCCCCTCATTCTACCCCCAGCACAGCGGCCTGCAAGGCCCTATTCAAACAAAGCCAGGTCTCCTGGCTCGGCCTGGAGCCCTCCTGGGGCTCCCAGGTCCCTCAGCCTCCCGGCCGCATCCCCCGGGATGGTCTGCGGGGCCCTACTGCTCGCTCTCCTGTCTCCCCCGGCTTCACCCCGTGGTCCCCTCAGCCACCCTGCGGCGGCCACTCTGGCCCCTTGCTGCCCTCGCGCACGCCAGGCACGCTCCCGCTGCTGTGTAGGTCGCCTGTTCCCGAGACCAGTGGCTCCCAGAGTGCAGGCCGTGGATTGGCAACAGCAGCCTCGGTTGGGGACTTGTTGTCAGAGACAAGACCTCTCGGGCCTCCCCTGTGATACACAAACGACCACCTCAGGGTGGGGTCAGAGTCAGGTGTACCAGGCCCTCCAGGTAGCCCCTGCGGGGGCTCGAGCACTGCAGCCCTGGACACGTCCGTCCGGCTGCTACTCCCCTCACCTCCTGGAGGTGTCTGCTCGGAGGCCGCCGTCTCCCCGCGGCCCGCCTGGGCCCCTCTTTAAAAAGCCACTGATGCCCCCGCTCCGTGTCCTTGACCTGGTTTGTCCCCTGATTTTTCTAATAGGCTCTGGCATAGTTGTTTCCTGCAGTACTCTGTGATGTACCATTTATGCCGTATACATCACTCCAGGATTGCTGTTTTTGTACTGATATACTCTAACATCTAATATTCTCTGTCATTTATTGTTTTAGTGTGATTGTTGTTTTGTTTTGTTGTGCTTATCCCTCAGTCTCCCTGGTAGAATGTAAGTTCTTTGTAGGCAGAAATGGTTGGGTTATTGGTTCGTTGATGTAACCCAAGCACCTGGAGGAGTTCATTCAGTAAGTCAGTGTTGAAGGGGAACTCGGAGCCGAGGCCCCTCCTTGGTGCACTGCAGCTCCCCGTGGGCAGGGAGAGCCTGCTGGGTCAGCCCTGTGACCCTCGGCAGTGCTGCCGGCTCTGGGAGGCCTGTGGGTTAGCCTGGGGAGACGGATGCCCTGCCTGTTGGTAGGGAAACAAACCTCCATTTGAAGCAGATGCAGAAAGAAGGGTTGGGCTTGAATTACAGAGGGCCCAGCTCTTACCGCTAGCCACGGGCTGCTGGTAAATCGGGGGAGCAGGAAGCATTAGAACCAAGTCTGTTTTTGTAGCTACTTCCTTGTCGCTCAAAGCTTTCTGTGGTTGGGAGTGGAAAGCACCTCAAACATGGCCTTGGCAGAATGGTCCGCTTCTCCTAAGCTCTGGCTGCACACCAAACGTGCACGTACAGCTCTTTAAAACAGGTACTTGGGCCCTGCCCACCGAGAGCCCGCTGTAGCAGGTGTGACCCCGGCTGGAGAGGCGGGGCTCAAAGCCTGGCCCGCAGGGAGGGACTGCTGGGGCCTCAGACGGCGCTCATCATTAATGCCAGAACCTCACAGACTCCCCACTCTGAGTTCTGACAAACCTTCAAACCTGAGTTTTACTTGCCATGTATAGGCAGTAAAAACCAAACAATGGAGATGAATGTTGTGGTATGTAAATTATACCTCAATAAAGGTCTTAATGTAAAAGGAAAAGGTTAAGTTGCTAAAAGTCCCCTGCATAATTAATACACAGCTTTGAAATGTGAACCTGTGGGTCTCAAAGGCGACAGCAGGCTGCAGTAGCCACAGTGTAGAGTATTGATGTTTATCTTCCAACCTCTCAGAGCACAGAAGACTTTATGAATATCTGCATCGAACCCGACAATGTCAGCAAAGGAGACTTCATAAGTATAGGGTAAGTGGATTGCAATTTCCTAACTGTGGGGCGAGTGGCCTGGGGCTTGGAGGAAATGAGGCTGAAGTCATTTGAATTGAATTGTATCGACTGAATTGTATCGTGTTGTATCCTGTTCCGAGTACCCGTGAAGTCTCTATATGTATAGGGGACTCAGCGAGGGACGCGCCTTGTTTGGGAATCACAGCTTTCTTGGTTGCATTTGGGTTGACGCGTCTAGTGCTCCTCTCTTGCTCTGGCCTTCCCTGTTCGTTTTGGGGGGATCGGAGGGGAGCAGTCGTTGCCTTTCTACGGAAGGGACCCAGTGCAGCGGGGCCCGGGGCCTGGAAGGCTGGCGTCAGGGCCCGAAGTGCTGGGTCCTGCCTCCTCCTGGCCTCCTGTTTTGGAGGCACCCTCCGTTCTCTGAGTCCTTTTCCCTGGGTGTGGCCTGGAGTGATGTGATCACCTCTGACTCTCTCGGGGTCATTTTCGGGTCTCAGGTGAGGGAATGTGCAGGGAGGGCCTTTTTCATCGTGACCTACTCCCCAGTGTCAGCTACTGTGGGTCAGTCCCCCCTTGCCCTGCTCTCCGGGTGTTTGTGAAAAACCCGAAAAGGGGCTGAGTACTTGGGACATTTTCCAGGTTTCCCTTTTCCGCTACAAAGTACGCTTTCAGGTCCCATCTGATTTGTTCAGCCCTCCCTTGGCCAGAGTTTTATTGGTTAAGGATGCTCTAGGCCCTCCCTCGGCATCATGGACCCCTGTTACCATGCCAACAGCCAGTCTGCTTGGCTGCGTTCTGTGCTCTGGCTCAGAGCTCCCCCTCGCGCCCACTGCGGGGTTAAACATCTCCGCTGGGGAGGCGGGTCTCCATGGCAACCTCATTGTCTGCACCAGCACCCTCACTACACTGTCTGTTTCTGGTGTGTTTGCCGGGTACAGAGTCTTCAGATGCTGAACAGCTGCGCCTGCAGCCATTGGTTTGTTTGCTGTGTCTGCGGGAGGCGGGAGGGGAAACACCTCCCTCCCTCGGAACAGTGTGCAGACGCCTCTCACTGTCTCAACTGGGAGTCCGACCAGTGGGGCCCGCTCTACCCCGGGCTCCTTTGTAATTCGACATCCAAAAATAGAACACCGATCGTGGTGCGTAAGTGAAGTCATCGCGTTCCTCGTTATTTTGAGCATCGGCAGCAGTGACATGGTCCCCTTTGGTCTCTACAGGAAGTGAAGTCAGGTAATGGCTCCTCTGGGTATCTGAAGGCCCCCTGAGAAGCTGCTTTAGAAAATGGATGAGGTTTCACTGATGAATTACTGTTGTCAGTCGTTGAAAAAGAATGGGCTAACTTGGATTAGCTCTTGCCCTTCCTGTACTTCCTGAGACCAGCAGTGAGGGGTGGGCTGGGTGTGGGCAGTTACTCCGCCAGTGCTACTCCAGCGCCACTCAGCGAGGGCGAGCACGGGCTGCGCCAAGCAGGCCGCTGCCATGGAGAGTCGGCAGGGAGCCTCGTGTGGAACCGGTGCTTCACGCGTGCGTAGAAAAGAAACCTCTGCCTTACACTGACATAAGTTTCTCCAAGGGTTGCCTCACTCCCAGGTACCACCAAGTAACAAAAGCTTAGTACTTCTAAAGGATTTAATTTCATTCTGTTAAACGTGGGGTCTTTAACCGCCCAGGACTTGGGCCCGTGTGGACGATGTAAAACCAGGCAGTCTCGACTGCAGGCACAGCTCTCGCCAGCAGGTCGGCCCCTCCCTCTGGCACGTGTCCCAGTGCTGAGTGAGGGTCCTCGTGGGAAAGACTACGCACAGGTCCCCATGCTGTTCAGTGGATCGGGAGCCCTCTGCTTAACCTCATCAAAAACAGAAAGAACTTGCCATGTTCTTGCCCCCCAATGCCATGGCTGGCACTGGTTTACAAACTTGTTTTTCCTCTGCTAACAGAAGCAAAAAGGTGCGAGACCCCAAGCTGCGCGCCGAGGGCACCGAGTGTCTCCAAGCCAGCCAGTGCGCCCTGCTGCTGCCCGAGGTAAGTGGGCGGGCCTGTCCCGCAGCTCTTGGGTCTTTCTCGGGTCTCCCTCTCTGTTCGCCCCCCTTCCTCTCCAGTAACAGACCCTCACTGAGGCACCTTGGATGTGCTGAGCACACTATCAGCCTCTGGGTCAGAGGAGGCAGACCTGAGAGATGACAGGACCCAATGTTCTTAAGCCAAGGTTCTCTAAAGCGAGCTTTGGGTCTCCTAAGCTCCCCCGGCCCCAGATGTAAATTGCGCAGAGTTCCTATATTATCACACAGAAAATTCTCAAATGTTAACAATGGACTCCACCTTCACACTTGTTGTGAAAGATCTGGGAGCAGTTTTCAGAATGGTGCTCCGTTTTCCTGTGCTGTGAAACGCCAGGCCTAGAAGAACAACCTGTATCAGTGGGGCAAGTTGGAAATAGCATCTCATTTATAAGGTTAGTTATTCTATTAGCAATGCCTCAGGAACAGGGTTACTCCAGGTCACCTCTGCATACTCATGGCCACTGTGTCACCGTATGCAGGAAAGGACCTCGTTGCCCCCACAGGGGTGGCACCGGAGTCTCAACACAGACGTGCCGCATTAAAGGCACAAGTTCCGACCAAGTTTTACAGGCTCTGCAGTGGGGCGTGCTCTGCCTGCGTGGGGAGCTGAGCGTGTCCTGAGGAAGAACCTTAGACGCAGGCAGGCGGCCGTCCTGGCTTGCCTAAGTGTGGGATGTGCGGTCTTGCTCACTGAGAAGGACCTGCAATGCGCTATGTGTACGAATTCCTTCCTTAAAGATGTGGCAGGACCCCTGTCTTTTAATATTTGAAAATTATAACCTTGCTTCTCAAGTACCCAAATACTCTGGTAGGAGATAAGAGGTCAGAGAAATAACAGAACCTTTTTCGTGGATGGGATGTTTCCAGAACCAGCACCGAATCAGTGACTTAGAGGGACAGAGACTCGGGCCGCCGAGAGGATGGCGGGGAGGACGACCCCGTGTGCGTGTGGCCCCCTGAACGCTGTCTCCTCCACAGGGCACCGGGGGCTCCTTCAGCATCGACAGTGAGGAGTACGAGGCGATGCCCGTGGAGGTGAAGCTGCTGCCCCGGAAGCTGCAGTTCTTCTGTGACCCTAGGAAGAGAGAGCAGCTGACGCCCAGCTCCGCTGAGTGAGCGCCCGGGGAGGGGCACCCGAGACCATGCTCGAGGCCACCGTGGGACCAAAGGGAACAGACCGGACGCCTCACCCGTCCCCACAGGGCAGTGGCTTCCCCTTCGCGCATGCTCTGACTTCCGTGAGGCAGCTGCTCCCTGCTCAGGCTAGTTCAAGGGCGTTCTCTCTCACAGCGGATGGGGAAGGGCTAGACCTCGTCTCCCGCACACGCAGCCGCTGGGGCACGCGGGACCCTAGCCTCGCCCCTCCGTCCCTGTCTGTTCCCCACGGGTGCTGCTGCTTGGTGAGCTCTGACTCTTTCTTAGCTTGTTTCCGTTCGAGCCTCAGTCCAAACAAAAGTGTGGGTGAGGTGTTTCCCTCTTCAGCCATGGCTGAAATTCTGTCAACTCCTAGTTTGTTCGAGTAGCGGTCCTTAAGTGTTGGTTTGCATGCTGAACCATCCAGGGTGCCTGTTGAGAACTGCGGGACTCGGGGTCCAGCCCAAACCTAAACAACTCAGTCCAGGTGGAGCCCGGCAACCTTCATCTTCCCCGCAAAGCAGCCGCGCTCCCCAGGCGACTGCTGCGGGCCCCGCCTCACCAGACGGCAGGGGCGAGAGGGGGGCTTCCTGGGGTCTTCTGGAAACCGCGCGCCCCGTCACGCTTTAGAGCCGGCGTCCGAAATCTGTCGAGGGAGTCAGCGCTGTCCAAGCATGTGCGTCCTGCTGTCCTGTAAATACTATTTTAAAATAAAAACTGATTCACTCTTTTAAACATACTCAGTGTAATTTAAACACACAGCAATTTGACATCACCCATGTACCAAAAAATAAACACGTTCTTCAGTAGTTGAACATTTTAAACGGACTTTCCTCCTCGTATGTTTCCGCACCCCCTTCAGCGGAGAATGCCATCGTGGTGCAGGCTGTTTTCACGCGTAAAACTGTGTAGTTCTGTGCTGACTGTGGAACATTACGGCACTGTTCTCATCAGTTGTGTGTCAGTAATCACAAGGTTTGGGTAATTAAACGTTAACTGTGTTAGAATGTTCTTCATCCTCCTTAGTTCATCTGCGCAAGAGCACGTGACCGTTGCAGCCAGGTGCCGCAGAACCCGACGCTGCGCTCCCGGTCCCGCGGTCGGTGGGCGTGCGCACGGGACGGGACGGAAGGAGTTCCCTTGCGGCAGTGTCTGCGGCTCTGTGAATCCTTCGGAGTTAACTGTCAAAAAATCGGCGATCTCAAAAATTATTAATAATGATCCCTCAACAGCCTGATTACACCTTCCCTTAGGTTGTCGAAAGCCCGGAACCTGAAACCGCCGGCCAGCCGGTCTCGGTCAGGGTTCACTCCTCACCCCGCCAGCGCCAGTCCCTCAGTGTGGGGCCCGTGGGGTGTCTTGCGCTAGAGGGGCGAGCACACGGTGGTCGGATGGGCGGGACAGACGCCTCTCTGAAGAGGCAGGGACGGTGCGAGGGGGCTGGCCGGCCATGGCTCCGGGCTCGGCTCGGCAGGTTGGCGCTAGGGCAGTAAGGTACGCCTGCGCCCACCAGCCGCTGGCAGAGTGCCGACCGCCGCCTACAGGGTCACAGAGCAGCTACGGAACGCCCGCGTGTGAGCTGCACGGAGACCGGGCTTACCTGTGTCGTCTTCGGAGCGGCATTGGAGGCCACGCTTCTGCCAAAAAAAAAAAAAAAAAAAAGGAATAAGCAGGTCCAAGCACACGGTGTGAGGGTCGCCCACTCCACACCGCCCACGGAGCGGGGAGGGGACGCGGCGGTCTGGGAAAAGTTTCCACGTGAGCCGAGCCCAGAGGATTGAGCATGTCCTGATTCTAGAACAGACTATAGGGGGCCACCCGGCCCAGAACCGGCAGCCTTGGTAGGGTACCGCACACGCGTGTGTGAGGGACTCTCATCCTCCCATTGAAACCGCGGAACTTAGGATCGGGGAGGGCTATTTAATCCAGGTGAGTACTTTTACTCACTCCAAATGTACATATGCCCTGGTTCAAACTGTTTTCCTGATTCAGACTGTTTCCTGTGAGAATGTGGTTTGCCCACTCTCACCGACTGCCCTGTGCACAGCACACGCAGGCGAGCAGAGGCCATTTCTAGGGCTGCGGGGGTAGGGGGCGGGGGGCGGGGGCGGGGGGAGGTGGGGGGGGGGAGGCGGGACAGGGGCGGGGGGGCGGGGGGGGGGATGGGCCCTCCCAGCAGCAGCCGGAGAATCCCGCCTGCCTCCTGCTGACGGCTGACCTCCCCTCCCACGGACTTCGCTCACAAGCTGAGACGGTTTCTATTACAAACATAGATGCTTTCCATTACATACAGTTTGACAGAAAGCCTTTTGCTTAACCTGTGGCCGATTTGCATGCACAGTTACGATTACTGTGTGTCTGGTGCTTTATACATGCCATTGCTTCAAGACCTGTTCTAACGACCCTGAGAAGCGGGTGACATCACAGGGGTCACGCGGCCCAGGGAGTAGGAGCCTGACTTGGAATACACTGCAGCCACCTCGGCAATTTGCTGCCTGAAAATAAGGTTAAAAATAAAACAAACTTCAGTGTCTATATACACACACACTCTATACAGGGTCCGGCACAAATAACGCCCTCCCCCCTTTTTTAAATCATCTATCACAAAATCTTCCATTACAAAATCATAAGCATGTGATTCTGTAACACATCACACTCAAGCACACCACATGACATTTTAGGTGAATGAATTAAAACCGCACTCACGCAGGCGTTACTTCTGCCGCACCCTGTATGTATTGTCATACACGTATAAAATACAGTAGATCGTCTTAAAGTTACCTTTGATGGGAAGAGACGTGAATGGAGAGGGCTCCGGTCCCCGCGGGGTTCTTTGAAAGTCGTTGATGGGACGGAGGGTGGGCCGTCCTGGCCTCCTGGTGGCACAGTCGTTCCGGCACCGGTTCCCGCTTCCTGGAGCACGTCTGTCCAGACCTGGCTCCCGGCAGGACGGGCGCCAGCAGCTCCTGGTTCCGTCCTCCTGCCCGTGGGGGGGCGAGGGCGGCGGGCTCGGCTCCGCCCCTCCTTCCTACCACAAACCTCACTCCTCGGACTCGGTGAAGGACCGCACGCAGCACACGGGTTCATGTTAAAATGTGAATTTTAATTGTAAAAAGTGTCGTCTGTAAATATAGTTATCTCCGCCCCTCTGCACACAGCTGGGTTCGGGTATATACAGACACGATGTACACAGATGGTGCTGGCGCCACGGGACAGAATCGCCGCGAGAAACATCCACTCGGAAACTCAGGCTCACCCCAGCTTGAGGCCTTTGGCGCTGTCGCCGTGGAACACAGAGCGAGACTAACACGCTTGCGAGCACTAGCACTCGGGGTAAACCCTATCAGCTGACACTGGTTTCGTAATGTGAGGTAAGGACTGGAAACAAAAATAGATTCCGTTTCTCTTATTGCTCGAACTCCGACACCGGGGCATCAGTCACAACAGAGGCGTGACATTTAAGGCGACCTCGACGCGATGCTTTTCCTGACTTGGAAATACAGGGAAACCTTTGTTCCACAGCTGACGCTGTTTCTTTTCAGAAAAGGCTTAGTTCCCAGACCCACGAAAAGTGTAGCTGGCCAGCGTGGGGTAAGGAAGGAAGTTGATTCCGTTCCCCTGTGCTCTGTCCCCTCACGTCCCCTCCTACCCTGTCTGCCCGAACGCCCAGGACCTGCACCTCCCCTCACCGTGGCTTTAGCGGCTCCCTGGACTGAAACTCTCCCCGCCGCCACCTCCGAAACTCTTTAATGCTTTTGTCTCAATTCTCCCAGAGGACGTTTTCCCTCTCACGTGAAGAAAATCAGCAATCAGCTCACTGCCCTCTGGGTAGAGTTTCCTTCTTTGGGTCTCTGGCCAATTTATAATCATGCCCTACCCCACCCCTTGCATCCCCAACCGTCCTCAGAAATCCTCAGGAAGCAGGTACGTGGATCCTCAGTCCAGACGCGCATTCCACAGCAAACGTGGTCCCACTAACCGCCTGTTACAGTGATTCAGCCAACTTCTGAATTTAGATCCTGCTACCTCTGAGAGGCCGTGCTGTGCTGAGCTTCTAGAATAAACTAAAGACATGAAGGAGAGCTTACCTTCTCCATCATTACTTACAGATTCATTAGCACTGGAAATTTCTGATTTCTTTTCTGAATGGGCAGCTTCATCCAGCCACCCGTTTTCCAACTCCAAAAGTGAACCAAAGTGCCAGTTATAAAACTACTTCTCGCACCTGCCCCCTTCTGTACGAGAGTCTCACTTAAGGTTGGGGACGCGACGTCGTCCTCCCTAGGAGGGTCAAGTGCGTCTCCTAGAGAATGCTATTGTGATTTCACAGTCTTTGTTCACTCTCCAGAACATTTAAGTTGTAAAACTTTTATGGGGGTCTCAGTTGCTTCCCAATTCCAAAACTGCCCATTTCTCCTAAAATTACAGCTTGGAAATTTCTTTCCATTTCAAGATCTGCATACTCATTTTATCACACAGTAATAATGATACAAAAATAAACTTCCATTTCTTATAAGAAAAACATGAACTGGATTCACAGTTAGCCTTTTCCCATGCCGCTCTGCGCTCCAACAGCTCCTGGGAACGGAGGTATATTAGTAACACAAGTGGAATATTAAAAGTCCATGACTTGGGAGTAAAAGGAGCCTGTGCCTCCTTGTCTTCCCCTACCTGAATCAGAAAGGGCCGTTCCTGTCCTCCGGTCCCAGGGTCCCCACACACCCCAGCCACCAGCACACTAAGAGCAGAGAAGGGCAGGGGGGAAGCTGCGGCCTGGACTTCTCTTGGATTCGCAACCCACCAGGGAGGAACCTCATGGGGAGATGAAGCTGGGCGTGCATGCTGGTCCCCAGGTGAACCGTCTTGCTCTTTCAGAACCGTCATCAACACTAAGGCAAGTTCACGGCCCGTCAGAACGCTGTCTTCTGATTTCCCCTCCCTCCTTCACCCCTGCAAGGATGAGCTGCTCCGGGACTGGAGAAAGCATCTGGAATCCATTCCCTGGGCCACGCGGTTTCATCAGAAAACAAAAACAAAAACAAAAACAACAACAAAAAAAACGGTCCCTGAGGTCCCAGCCTCTACCCAGAGTGTTCCTGTACTACCACTAAAAGGTTAATTCTTTACTGCCCTTTGCAAAAGGTTCCCCAAAGGCCTCAGTTTAAAGGTGAATAATCTCATCTTTTTATTGTGTTTGAAGGGCTTTCAGTGTATCAAGACAAATAGCCGGTTCGTCCTTGCTGCCACTGGGAGGAAAAGCAGCCGCTCGGCTAGGATTTAATTGATCTTTATCTTCTCGCTAAAAGATCACAGGTTGTTACACTGATGAATGAATCTTCCCAGGTGGTATTTAGAACTATCTGCACCCGGTGCTACAGTTCAATTCCCACCTTCATTCCCGCGGACAAAAACAAGGTTAAGCTACAGATGCAGATTCCTGTGATAAATGATTTCCACCAACACCTCGGTGAGTCCCATCCCTTCCCCGGCCGAACGGAAGACGAGGTGCCACAATGGATGACGGGTGTGGAGGCACACTCCTCCCGGTTCCCGGCCAGCACAGTCCCCAGGGCACTCGGCGCCCCACCTGCGACGCCCTCGCTGGACCAGAACCGCCCCCCCCCCCCCCCCGCGGCCTCAGCAGAGCTCCACGCTTGATGAAAGCCAAAGCTAACTCTCAACCAAGAACTTGGTGCTAATCGGCAGGAGAGAAGCCCTACTGTTTCAGACTCCTTCCAAAGGAAGAGTCCCAAGCTAGAAGACCCGCAGACATTGACAAAAAGGCTGAACGCTACCATCTGCCCAGCCGACAAACTTGGCAAAACCCACTCTACCATCAGGAGGCCCCAGGGCTGGATTCCAAGCCTCCCAAGGGCTCCTGCCACCAGACCTTCTTCCAGCATGGCCTCAGGACCAGAGGGCAGCCCAGGGGTCAGGTGGGCAGTGTTCCCAGGTGGGCACACAGCCCCCCGCAGGGCACTGGAGCAGGCTGAAATCCCCCAGGGGCACCCAGCAGCTGGGGCAGGTGGGGGTGTGCTCCAGCAACACCCCTCGGTCAGGAGACCACACCCCTCGGGAGGTCTCCAGCCCCTTCCAGGAGGGCAGTGCTCACAGTCATCATCGCTGGCCCTTCAGAGCTTACGGACCAGAAGGTAAGATCTCAAAGGATGCTCACCAGCACCTCCCAAACCACAGCGGATGGTTTCTCAGAACGCATTTCAACAGTGACAGGAAACCACATCCGCGTGGCTGCCAGCTTCTGCTGTCACCCCGAAGGGACTCCTGCCTGGCACCTCGCACACTTCTTCCCCTTCTAGAAAACCTGCGGCCAGCGATGCTGGGCTGGGCTGGGCTGGGCTGCCCCCCTGGGGCTGTGGGGAGAAGGCTGGGGGATGGGAGCGTCGGGTACAGAGGCAGCCTTCAAAGGCGACCTCCGTCTCTCAGTCAAGGCAAGAAGCACTCGGGAGTGGACAAACCCGGACAAAGGTCACCACAGAGCCAGCGGGCAGTCTGGGCAGCCAGGCGGAGGGGGCGTCACGCTGGGCTGCGGGCCTCACGAGGAGGCTGCAGTGCAGGGACGGAGCACAGGGTGGGGGCACGTGTGTTCTGCTTTGGGCGTGCGTTCCCCACCAGGGCACCTGGACCCCGGCCCTCTGCACATGGGTGAGGGTGGACGCACGGACATGCCAGACAGATGGCTGCCTGCAACGGTGTGGAGTTCAGAGGAGCCCACGATTCAAGGGGAACCACAGGAAGCCCATTTTCACCCCACGGCCTGCACCGCAGCACTTGCGAGCGCCGGGTCACACCGCCACAGGAGCGATGCGTCCGCACGCAGACAGACCACAGCAGGAGAGCTTCAACAGAGAGTTCTCCCGCCAGACTTCCCGATTCCGCAGCAGGGGGGTCGGCCTGCATCCCCCGAGAGAACCCGACCCACCCTCTCACCCCTACCTGCTCTGACCACCCACCCCACCCACGTCGGAAACCCTGGAACCTCTCGGACACCACCCCCGGCAGCCCGGACCCGGCCCCCTAAGGAAGGCCGCTCTGAGAGGCAGGAGGAGGAGCTTCCTTGTCCAGGCAGAGCGCGGTGAAGCCTCGGCCTCGACACACAGATCTTCTTTTGTAAACCAGCGTGTCACTGACGGGGCGCTGCGCCGCCCCGCAGGGGACAGAGCGGATCGGTGGCACGGCTTACACTCCAGCGGCTGGACCTGCTATGGAATCCGTGTCTCCGTGCAGTTCCACACGTGACCTTCCGAAGTCCTGAAGTCCGTGCTATGGGGCTACCGTGGAAGTGCTTCTGAGTAAAACAGCAAGCCCCACAAGGCTGGTCTCTGAGATCAGACATGGGATCGGCCCGTTCGAAAGTGACCCCTCTGCTGCGCCCGGTGGCCTGGCAGGAGCGTGCTCAGGGACCTGGGTACAGTGACGGCTGCTCCGGGGACCACTGGGCAGGAAGGGTGGGGGGAGGAGTTCTCTGTCAGCAACAGCCTCGCGCCCCAAGTCCAAATCCTAAGTGATGGCTCCCTGTGCGCCGTCTCCCCTGCCCTGACCTCCAGCGATCGCCCAGCCGGAGGGAACAGGCGGGGCCTGTGGGGAGCTGGCCGGGCCACCACCTTTTGGGGGAAAGCAGACTCTGGTCCCTGTCGCTGGGGGGTTCCCAACCACTTCCTGGGTGAAGGCACTGTCACAGTTGCTCTCTGGCAGACCTGCTGGGTCTCTGGCCCAGGCGCCCAGCTCAAGGAACGCCCTCGCTGCCGAGGAGAGGTGCGTGCGGGCCTGCGCTGAGCTGGCGCTCGGTCCCGTCAGCGCACTCAGAGCTCTTCGCTAAATTACAGCATCAGGGACTCGGCGGTCACCCCGAGGCTCTGCTAGTAACACCTCCCGAGGGCTCACCCAGATGGAGAAACACCTCCTCTGCCCTGCACCCCAATTCCTCATCTTCGGTGGCAACAGATGCCGCTCTTCAGAAACCCCCCAAGGATTCCAAGAGCATGGCTAGCCCTTAAAGGAGACGCATCTGGAAAATGAATTTGCTCAGAAGCTCCAGGGCCAGTGCTGGCCCTCAGCAGTCAGCCAACCCATCCCAGGAGGCGGGGACTCTGGGAAAGAGGGACAGCACACGGAGCGGCCGCCAGCGACCTGGAGGCCAGTCTCAGGGCTTCACGCTGCAACTTCAGCCATCAGCTGACTGACAGGCAGCCCCTCCGTGTCATCCGGCCCTTGGGGAAGCTCGTACTTGGTGTCGGAGACACCCCCTTGTCCCACCTTGAGGTCTCTCCTCACACGAAGACACAGACGTGTCCCAATGAACAGGAAAATGGATCTGATCCCAAGACGGGACTCCCAGAACCGATGAAAACCTTGTACGGTCATGGTCTGGCTTCTGCCATCGAGCCGCCCTGGCAAGGCGGCGGTCCCATTCTTGAGTACGTCGGGGGACGCAGGCCACGCAGGCTGCCTGAACAGCCCACCCCAGTGTTCCCAGAGCTCAGCCACTCCCAGCGAGCGACCTGGGGCCTCCGCCGCACCTCAGGTCACTCGGGGGGAGGAGGTGAGAGAAGAAACGTCGATGAGGACGCCGAAGACCCAACCAGGCAGACTCCGCGGGACGTGGCCGGTTCCCGAGTCCCGTGAAGCAGGACACGGAACCATAGCCGCCACCTCTCACCCTACCTGTCCGGAGCACGGGAAGAACAGAGACCGCCACAAGTACATCTGATGGGAAGTATACACAGGATTCCTTGGTGTCCACTTAGTAAAAACCGAGCGCCCCGGGCCTGGGCTGCAGTCCCGCGTGACAGCGGCTCACCGGTCCGGCCCGCCCGTCCTACGGGCAGCAGGGGTTGTCGATGACCAGCATGACGTCGATGCCGTAGGCCTCCAGCAGGTCCATGAGGAAGCTGCGGTCCCCCTGGGGGTCCAGGCCCATGCCCCGGGCGTGCTCGGCGGTCAGCGTCTTGTCCTGACTGGCGGACACCTCCAGCAGGGTCTGGAATATCCGGTTGTTTTGCTCCAGGAAAAACCTGCGTTCAAGAGGGAGACGGGGGAGGGAGGGAGGGAGGGAAGGAAAGACAAAAGCTCAGAACACGGTCCGCACGTGGGGACCACGCGACGCTGTGTTCTGTTCAGTGCCTCTTGAACTGGCTCCCCAAACCAGAAACCTTTTTTTTTTTTTTTTAAAGAAAACACGATCAAAGTTAAATGGAAGGGCTATTAAAATGCCACTAAGATTTGCAAAGAATCCACTAGCATTAATCAAGGTATAATGAGCAAAACCTCTCAGCAAGCGATGGCCTGACTGCCAAAGAGCTCCTTCTCTGTCGAGGGGTGACTAGGGGTTTAAACACAGCCTGGGGAGAGGCCCCCCCAGACTGTGTTCCCCTCTTTCTGCTTAGTCATGAGGGGAAGTTAAAAGCCAAACACCCGATGGAGCAGTTCTGCGGTCAGGACGTCAGGTGAGGAGCTGAGGGCGCCTGCGAGGCTGCCACGGACGGACGTCCACACTCCAGAGGCGGAGCTCCCAGGAGCAGGGGCGGGGCTGCAGGCACCAACACTGCCCTGGCTCGCCACCGTCCTTGGGTGGCTTTCTTGGATTTTTTACTTATGCACAGAGCATGACCTCAATGTCACCGATTGCCAGCACCACGTGAGTGGACGAGCCGCGTTCTGAAAAGGCGTTATTTCCCGCCGGGTCCCACAGAGTTCTGGGGGCTCCACAAAGGTGCCCTGCACGCACCCTGAACGCTCCGGACGCCCAGGAACTTCAGGTGCAGGGGAGGGTGTCAAACCTTGAGGAGACCGCTGGCTCTGTGCCTGATTCCCAGACACTTATTATATCTGAGGAGCTTTCTGAGTGTGCATCCGAAAGTACACTGTCTGAGAAGCCCAGTAGGGCACTTCGTACAAGCATCAACAGTAAGTTTTCAACATCAAGGCCAGAAAAGGTGCTGACCGCAGCTGCAGCTCCCCACCCCCTCCCAGGAAGGGGCCGGAAGTCCAAGCAGGAAGCCACTGCAGTTCCGAGTGCTGTGTCATCAGCTGCTTGTGAACGAAACCAATGTTCTAAGGGATGAAGGCTGGGCTCCCGCCTTGACCGCCAACAGGTCTCGGGGAAAGATCCCCGGGGGTGCAAGAGCTGAGTTTCCAGACTATTCCATAATACTCCGTGCAAAGGACCGCTCTGTTCAAAGGGAGCCACGGATGAGAAGTCCCCGAATCCCGAGCGACAAACAGAGCGTCCGAGCCGTGGACAAACCCCAGGGCCTCCCATTTTCCCTGAATGGCCTCCCCCGCTGCTTTTCCTCACTGCGCTGTGTCCCCTGCTGACAGCATCTCAGGCTCTGGGGCTGGCGGCAGGGGGCCCAGCTCCAAGTGCCCTGCGCAGTGTGAACCCAGGTGGGACTGAGTATACACCTGGTAACCTCGGGAGGGGGGCCCCCAGCGGGCCTGCAAAGCTCAGTGACCGAAAGGAACTGCACAGGATGCTCCGATCACCTCACTGGGCAGGTCCGGTGGGTGGTGACACCCCAGGTGCGTAGCTCCTGTAGAGAAGGCCAGTCTTGAAGATGGCTCTGCCCACTGTCCCCACGCAGCCAGGATAACCTACCTTTCAAATGTCAGAGTGACTCCTTTTCCAGACATACCCCTCAAAGGCACGACTGCGGCACCAGAGCACCAACCACAGAGCCCCTCCCTCCACGTTATCTCAGTCACCCAGCTCCGTGCTCTGTAAGTGCTCGTGACTAGCTCTCCGCACCCACCAATGAAAAAGAAGTATGTGCTTCTCCATTTGCCTTGTATCCAATCCCAGAGATTTCCCTGCTACGCTTTGTCCCGCCTCCTTAGTCTGCCACCAGTGGATTTCACGTAACCTTCCTTGTGTCGATTCTGATGGACAAAATAACCTGCAAACTGCCATTCTCTGGAGCACTTGAGATTTGGTCCCCAGCCATTGTTGTCACTTTGGCTCAATACAGCCACACAAACGCTCCACAGGTGCAGGCATGTCTCACACCGACCGCAGCGATAAAGGACCCCCGGACTGTGGCGTGACACGGGAGGGCTCCAGGCCCACAGCACCTAAGGGACCCTCGGGGAGGCCCCGTGGCCCAGCCCCAGCGACTTACAGCACGAAGAGGTCCTCTTCACACGGGCTGTAGTCCTCCTCCACCTCCTGGGAGTACAGCAGCGTCTGCCTGTCATGGGGAGTCCCCATCAGACTCTGTGAGCTGTGAGGACCCTCATCCGCCAGGTCATCATGCAGGCGTCTGCACAGGCCACGCCCTCCCGGGAGGGAGAGTGACCCCGAGGAGCACCCCCACCCCGACCCCGTCCAAAGGCAGGGCGAGAAGGGACTGGAAAATAATAAACAGGGCTGGTTCTGGCCCTGTGCCCACTGAGGCAAGTGACAACCCTTCCTCACCACCCATCCAACAGGGGTGAGACTGAGGCCATTTGTTCCCCAGGAAACCAAATGCAGGGACTCGCATGAGAGGAAGCACGAGCGAGTGTTCGGTGCTGCGGCGCCCACAGGAGACGTCCGTCAGGAAGGAGTTCTCCCCGCCCCCCGTGGGTCTGCTGCCCTGTCCAGTGCTCCAGGGGGATGCGGCCTCCTCACCACCCATCGCCAATGCGGCGGGCCCACTGCCAGGAGTGAGCCGTGAGGGAAGGCGCGGGTGGCACGGGTGGCACGGGCTAGACCGAGGCCCCGACTCAGAGGTCCTACCTGGGGGACGTCGGTCAGAGCGTGCGCTGGCCGTGCCTGCACCTGCCACTGCACGCCCCAGCCCGGGCCCCGCTACCTCTGCTCGTTGAGCCGCCGGTACTTCTCCCGGTCGGCACTGTTGATCTTCAGCAGGGGCTGCAGGTGGTCGTGGTGCGTCTTCACGTTCTGGTTGTCCACGTAGACGTCGTACAGCTCCCGCTTCTCCTCGAAGATCTTCTCCGTGGTGCCTGTGGGACCCGAGGTCAGGAGGTGGGAACCCCGAGGCTGTGGCCGAGGGCACCGGCCCGACCTGCCGGGGAACCCAGGAGCCGGGAGCCCGAAGCCCGTGAGCAGGAGGGCCCGTGGGGAGCTGGGACGCTGTCCTCTGCGCAGGGGCATGGGGGCAGGGGGCGGGAGGCAGCCGGGGGGTGGGGAGTGGCGTGCTCACAGGCCACATAGGACACCTCCACCTCCAGGCTCTCGATGTCGGCCACGTTCACGTAGAAGAAAGGCTTGGACTCGGGGATGGTGCCCCCGATGCCGGGCAGCGAGACGTTGGCCAGGCAGCAGCAGCAGTACACTGCGGGGGGCGGGGGGCAGACAGTGATGGGGTCAGGGGTCAGGGGTCTGTGCCTCCCAGCCCCTCCCCCTCCTGCAAGGCCCGCAGGCCACCTCGTGGCAGCCAGCCTCCCCGGATGCTACCGAGGGCTTGGCTCTGAGCCGTCCTGGTGCCAGAGGAGCAGGGGCCCTGCCCTCTGAGGAGACGGCGGGGGGCACTTTCAGGTGCCACGGCAGGCCCTGATCCCAAGACCGCTCCGCGATGCCCCACCAGACCCAGTGGGCGGGTCTCAGCCCTCACCGCAGCTGGGCTTGCATCGGACGCGGCACCGCCGACCTTGTCCACACGCTCGCCTCCCATAACCCTCCCGCCTTCCCGTCCCCGCCTCCTGACGGACATTGCACCGCAGTCCCCCCTGTCTGCCGCCTTCCCAGTTCCCGTCCCGTGCCTGCACCTTACACCCTGGCGCGCCTCTGCCCACTCCCTGTCCCCACGGGACGCCATCCGTCCCGGGGTCACCGGTGCAGCGTGAGGCCCTCTCCACTTCTTCCCCAGCCCCGCTGCTCCCCCAGGGAGCTGAGCCAGCAGCACCGGTGCCCAGTGGACACTGCGAGACGGCCTCACCGGCAGCACACGCTCACCAAGGCCAAGGTCAGCCCTCACACCACCTGCGCCTCCCTGGTCCCGTCTGGTGGCCCCACCGTCCTCGTCGTCCGAGACCGGTCCCCCATCACAGCCTCACACCCGCCAGAGTCCCACAGCCCAACCACAGCCCGTTTGTGGTCGAGCTCACCCCTCAGACACGAGGACATCTAGAGTCCACCCCCTCTGCCGGAGCTCCGACCCACCCAGACTGTCACCAGACTACGGGCACGTCACCCAGCCCGTCTGCATCGCCACCACAGCCCACGTTCGGAAACACAGATCCAGCCACAGTACTCCCAGGCTTGCAACCCGTGTCCCCCCGATAAGGCCCCAGCTCTGCTGAACTCGGTCAGCAACAGAGAGACGCAAGCAGCTTCTGCCCCGGGACCCAGGAAGAGCCCCCGGCACCAGCCTCCATTTACCTCGGTAGCACACGACGCCCACAGGAGGGGGAGAAAATATCAAAATGCGCTTTCGAAGTAAGGCGAATTTCCAGAGGATGAGGATCTGCTCTCCAAAGAACTTAATGAACTGAGACATGCAGCCAGCTGGGTGTGTGATCTGGAAGGAATCAGAGGGGAGGCGGGAGGGAGGGACAGCTTGTCAGAGGCATCCCCGCGAAAACTGTTCAACACGGGCGCGTGCAAACCCCCGCCCCCGAAAATAAGAACCCCGGAGCTCAACCAAACAGATGCAGGGATGGTTGCTACCACACAAAATGGTATTTTCCTCTTTCGGAGTCTCATCCTGAAACCAGATTTCTGTAATGCAACAGCTCCCCTGATGCTGGAGTTCAAGTTCAAGGACTGTTAACTACTTCACGCAGGAGAGAGAGGTGCCGGGGAAACAGGGCTGGACATAACTCCTTGAACGTCAGAAACACAAGTGCCTGTGAAGCCACAGGACCCCTCACCGAGGCCATGCAACGCACGGACGTTGCTGAGCACTGGGAGGAACACACAGACGAGTGAACCGTCCCAGGCTGGGGCCCCGAATGTACCGGGACCTGGCTTTTGCGCAGAAGCAGGCGTCTGTCTGCACAGGGGGCAAGACCCACGGGGCCTGCTGGTGGCCGAGCAGCCCACCGCACTTCAGCGCCTTCCGCACTAAACTCGGGGGCTGCCAGCTCCGTCAGCGTGGTACGGAGGCCCTCCGCCCGCCCGCCCGCCCGCAGGGAACTCGGAGCTCCCAGCAGCTACGTGAGCTCGGAAGTGGATACACTTCCCCAGTCGAGCCTTCAGGGGAGACCCCAGCCCCGGCTGACACCTTGGCTGTGGTCTCACGAGAGACCACGAAGCAGAGGACCCAGCCGAGCCGTGCCTGATGCCTGACGCACGGAAACTGTAAGACGACAAATACGCACTGGTTTCAACCGCAACGTCAGAGCACCCTTGGCCATGCCCTCCCTCAGTCTGAGGGCAGCCTCCCTCACTTTCTGCCGCGCCAAACACTTCAGGGGCCGCCGCCTCTTCCAAGAGGCCCTCCCGGGTCTCTCCCTTGAACTCATGGCCTAATTTCTCTGCCAGGGAGCCGAGGTGTCTGCAGAAGTATCTTAGGAAGCCCTACATGGGAGGCGGGGAAGAGCTTCGAACTCATAGTCATCTTTGTTCCCTCCCAACATCTAACACTTGGCCAGGTGTTTCGTTAGCTGTAAACAAACTTACCATAGTGCAAAGGCAAAGTACTTCAGGAAACAATACACAATAAAGCAATATCCAAAATACTGCAACTAATTAATATCAGACCCGTGTTAATGCTTTATCGTTAGCTCAAATGTCTGACCTTAAGGCATCTGAAGCAAGAATCAACAAAATCAAATCCACCCTTTCCCCCCGGGAACCCACCAGGACTGCCTATGAGTGCAGCTCTGCAAAATGATGGTGAAGTATCTAGAAGGCATATTGTTTCAGAGAACCTGCTTGATGTTTTCAAAGAACCCAAATGCTAAAGTTAGCAATGCTACTCTATCAGAAGCAGACTTTGGGCATGAGCCCAAGACATACATTCCTTATTAATTAAGAAAATAATTAAGCGCCACTGCACGCAGACACGAGCCTCGGGCGCGGGAGGGGCGGCAGACCTCACCTTCATCTCAGGGTACATGTACCGGTGGATGGATGGCAGCCAGTAGACGGGGGGCAGGCTGCCACCTCCCCCGGGACCCTGCACGGAGCACCCCCTTCTTGTCCTCGTAGAAGGCAGCCAGATGGGAGTAGTGCCCCGGCGTCTCCAGCTGGTGCCTGCAAACACACAGGTGCACAGTGAGACGGGCTGCTGCCACGGCTCGGTCCCTCGCCAGCCCCTCTCCCCCGCCCGACGGCCCCGCCATGTAGGGGCAGAAGCCCGGATCCACTGAAAAGACCCCCTTTGAAGGTTGCCCGGGATGCCTCCTCGGGAGTTACGCAAGATTCTCGGGAAAAGTTCCAGCGTGGGGTCCGATACCGCTCTGTAACTCATTCCCCTTCTCGTGGGAAACGGGCAGAATTAACGGGCTGTGACTAATGCCTTTGTTTGCGAGCGAGGTAGGCTGGGGACTGACCCTGTGGGCCTCCCAGAGCGTGGCCACGGGCCAGGAGAAGGGGTGACTTGGAAGCCCACCGATCCCCTGTTTCAGGCCCGCCTTTGTTTAGGACTCATGCTGGTCGGAGGGCTTTGTTGTTGTGAAAGAATACGAGGAAGCTTACCCCACAGTGTCTCAAAGAAGAGGAAACCATTATTGTAGGATGTCAGTCAGGACTCAGAACCTCTGCACCAAGTTATAAATAAAACGCTCAGAATCTCTTCTCTTTCCACCCCCCGCCCCCCGCTTGGGGTGGCAGGGCCTTGGCGGCGGGAGGCCCTGACCCCTGACCCTCAAACCAAGAAAGCTGCACTGAGGCCCCGGACCATGTGTACAATGGAGAACCCTGCCTCCAGGGTGAAGGCAGGGGCGCAGTGAATACTATTTGGCACTATGGTTAATGGGGGTGTTTTAAGGGTAGAACAGTGTCCCCTCCCCCACAAAAAATATGTCGGAGGCCTCAGAATGTGACCTTATTGGGAGAGAGGGTTTCATGGTGGGTCCTAAACCAGTAGGACTGGGATCTTTCTAAAAGGGAAATCTGGGCACACACAGAGACACACCCACGAGGAGGACGGCATGAGAAGATGCAGGCACGGGCCAGGAGGGATGACCTACAAGCCACGGAGGTCGAGATCGCCCGGAAACCAACCGGCCATGCGGGAGAGAGGCGAGGACAGAGCCCCCGCAGCCCCAGAGGAGCCAGCCCCGCCCAGCGCACACGGCTTCGGGCCCGGGACCCCGAGGAACCACATTCCTGTTGCTGTAAGTCACCCAGTGGCCGGTACTCAGTTTCAGCAACCCTAGGACACTAACGTAGGCAGGAACTCAAAAAGGCACTTAAAGCTTTTTATTAGTCCATTTGCATTTTCGCGGCACCCTACAATCTCCATCACGTGGAGACAAGAAAAAACCGAAATCTAGCTTTATTGGGCAAGGGGAGGCGCCCCTGCTCATAGCCAGGCCCGGACCACCGAAGACTAACATGAGCAAGCCCCCCAAACTGCTGCTGTGGCACAGACCACTCCGATGGGAGATTTTCACCACCCAGCCGGCAGCCCGCCACCCCTCACCCCCCGGAGTGACTCAGAGCTCGCGGGGCCAGGCCCTGCCGGCCCCTTCGCCTCTGCGCGATCTCAGGCAGCTCACTGAGCTTTTTGGAGCCCACTCCTTTCTCTTTCCTTAACGTGCCGACACTGCATTTCAGTGGACGCTGGCACCGCCTCGGTATTTTTCCGAGTTGTGAGCCCATGGCTCGCGCCACGCGTGACACGTCAGTCTCTCGGAGACCGAGGTTCCGTCTTCCCAGCTCTCCTGCGGCGCCCAGCCCGGGCGCTGGGAGGGCTCGGGGCCGAGGTAAACAGGGACGATTCTGGGCGAGCCCTGGGACAGACCTTCGGGCAAACTTACATTTTAGAAAGAAAGAAACCATCAACTACGTTCCAAAGACGGTTACTAAAGAGGGTTCTCCCCCAAGAGCAGCTCCCTGACTCGGGGCTCCTGCACATTCCGCCTTCAGCTTCGGGCAAGGAGGCTGGGATGGGCAGGACCCTGCAGAGGCCGCGTACTCCACTTCTCCCTTTCTCACAAAATGCTCGGGCGAGGATGGGAATCCGTGGTGATTCAGGCGTGTTTGTCCGTCCGGCTGAGCAGATGGGAGATTTCAGGTACTTTTTTGGGGGGGGTGGGGAGGGGTGTCAAATCAATGCAAGTTTGATTCATACAAAATAACACAAAGATGATTAAGTTCAAGGATGTTTTCCTTGGGACCTAAATTCCCTAAAAAGAACAGTGAGAATCATTTCACTGAATTTTTTAATTATGCATTTTCTGCATCAAAGGGGGCTGCGTCAGGGTAATTTATGTGATACTCTGTCATTTCCCAGGTTTGCTGTTGATTTGCTGTTCCAATGACCGTCTTCTGTTTGGCCACATCAAACGCTCGGCCACCAGGGGTGTCCAACCCATGGCCCTCGGGCAGCATGCGGCCCAGGATGGCTATGAAGGTGGCCCAACACAAAATCGTAAATTTGCTTACGTTTTTTTTCTGCTCATCAGTTTGTGTTAGTGTTTGTGTATTTAATGTGTGGCCCAAGACAATTCTTCTTCTTCTTCCAGTGTGGCCCAGAGATGCCAGAAGGAGGGCCTCCCCCTTGAACCAAGGTTCTAAAGGGGAGCTCTCAGTTAGAGTCCTGTAGACTCTCTGTAGACTCTAGTCCTGTAGGGTCCTGCAGTCCTGCTGCGGGACCCTGACCCCTGACAGCAGGACCTGTCCCCTGACAGCCTACGACACCCTGACTGGCAGAGCCGAACGGGAAGAACGTGAAGTGCAGACTGTGAACACACACATCAACACGGACTGGCAGTTCCTGCGTAAGTGCTGAACGACTGTGGTGTGACAGCCTCAAACTTCAAACACACTATAGATTTTGCAATAAACAGAATCGATCATCAAACCGTTCTACGAAGATACACTGAAAGGCACCGAAGCAAAGCTGAGAGTGCCAGGAGGTAAAGTGGGCGTGAAAGAGGACGCAAAAGGAGACCTTCCTGGTGATCTTACCTGTGAGGAGGCACAGATTACGACACCACCATGTGGACATGCAGGCCGAGCACCTATGGGAGATGTCCAAGAAACTTGACATTGTAACTGACGTAACCTAAGCTACTGATCTGGGGTGCCGCTTCCGGGTCACATCGAGGATCCCCAGCAGGACCAGGGACGCTGGTGGTCTCCTTAAACCCACAGCCCCTTCACTGATAACACACTTGTGTGACCACGCAGACGCCCACTGCAACTCTCCCTGCCACACCCCGCAGTCAGCCACCTGGCGTAAGAATGAGAGGTGCCCCCGTGCAAGGATGACACTCCATCGCTCCTGTGCATCCGCCCCCGGTGCCAGCCAGCCTGTGTCTGGGCTTTGCAGGTACAGAAAAGGACGCATCCCCAGGGACTGCTGGCGCAAGTCCAAAATGGTCCCACCTTCTGGAGGATCACTTGCAACTTGTATTAAATCGTACGCTGTAAATAGCCTTTGACCCAAAGATGCCATTTCTAGGAATGTGGCCAAAAGAACTGTATATGTGGATGTGAACAATCATTTGCCTACGGGGTGCTCATTTTAGACTGGTGAGAAGTAACATACCACCTAGAAGCCCCCCAAACGGCGAAGTAGTTAAATACATTGTGGTCGCCTGTGTGCTGAGATGCTATGAGCCCACCCAAATGACGGTGAGGACTGTCCATCACGACACACTGAAAGACTGACGTATCAAGTTAGAAAACTTAAACATTGAGTGATGGATTTTCCAAAAAATTACCGTGTGCATATTTACACACAGGGAGAAGACTACAAGGATATAAATGTTAACAGTAGATACAACTGGCTGGTGGGATCATACTCTTGTTTGAGTTGTCTTATTTTTCAAAGTTTGATCACTATATGTTAATTTTGTATTTAGTCTGTTTAAACATTTCATTATGGAAATTTTGAATTATGCTCAGAGTATAGAAAGAAGACAATTAATAAAACCCTCTATCGATTGATCACTTAGCTTCAACTGTGATGAATGTTTTATCAATATGGTCGTATCTGTATCCTACTCCCCCAGTCCATTCCTTTTCCTGAAATATTTTAAAGCAAGTCTCTTACCATAACACTTTACCCATAAACACTTGGGTACACATCTCTGGTGGATGAAGTCTATTTAAAAAATAACACCACCACCATGCCTGACAACATGAACAACAATAATACCTTCATTCAAATTATGCCAACAGTCCCCAAAATGTTGTTTTACAGTTAGTTATTTGAATTGAGACCTCAGCAAGGTCCAAAACTGTTGTGATGTGTCTTAATTCCTTTCATTTTACAACACTCTGTCTTCCATTTTCTGAGTTTTTTATATCATAAAGTAGCTCTCCAATATTTTCTGATGATTAAGAAACAGTTACAGAAAGGACTTTCTCACTAGAAGATACTGAAGCCAAGAGACATAATAAGTTCGTGATGTCAGAGACATCAGAGATAAGAATGAGTGTAGAACAGAGAGGTTAGGTGTCTTCAGAAACGCAGTCTGGTTCAGCTCTGTAACGTCAGGGCTGTGAGCGAGCAGGTCCCTGCCCAGACCCCGGCCTCGCTCCCGATGCCGCTCTCTCTCCCCTGCCCTGTGCCCTGCGGGTCCCTTCTCTCGGGCCGCCGGAGCCCTCTGCCATCCCCAGGCTGCAAAAGCTGTCTAGCTACAACTCACAATCTAGAAGCTGGAAAAAGATGAACGAATTCAATGAAGAAAAGAATCTGCATGACAAAAAAGGAATGCTAAACAATAAATCACGAAGTGGAAAAATATTTCCAATTTCTACCACAAAGAACAAAGCCCCCATTATACAAAGAACTTCCCAGAAATTAATTGTTAAAGGGCCAACGACCAAAAACAAACGTAGCAAAGGCTGGGAACAGTTCACGGAAAGGACACATGGCTCAGACTCAACCTCCCCGACGAGGATGGAGATGAAAATTAAAACTACTCACGTACCATGTTTTATCTAGCCAAGTGCCCAAACCCCAAAACTTTGAACTGCGGGCTGTGAGGACGCAGCAGGCCCCCGCATCACGGCAGGGCGTGCAAAACGGCGCCATCTGCACGGAAAGCAATGTGACGACATCTGTGGTCGTGACAAACACACAGACCCTCGGGACCACCACCTTCGTTCTGGGGATTTGACGTGCACGTGCTCTGCTCACATGTGGAACGATACTTGTTTGTGGGTACTCGGTGCAGCATCATTTGTAACGGCAACAGACTGGAAAGAACCAAGTGTCTGTCAGTGTAAGACCTGACAAAGAAAACACGGTTCTTTTACACAGGGCACCTTTACAACAGGAAGAAACAGGGAGGAGGCTCACTGTGGAAGACAGGAGTGATGAGAAGACCGGCCAGATGCACTGTGGAAAGAAGGGCGGGGTACCAAACACGTACACCTGCTACCTTCCGTATGAAAAGGGGGAGATGAGACTCGGCATCTGTGTTTGCGTAGACACGTACCCAGAGTCTAGAAAGAGACACGAGACTCTGACAGTGACTCTGGGGGTTAGTGGACGGATATGGGAACTGGGTAAAGACTCTTCATTGTATGTCATTCTCTTCTTCCTTTAATAACAGAACCTTCCGAATTTTAGCTGCGCACATGGCCACCAAGTTAAGGACCACAATTCCCAGACTCCCTTGCTGCTAGGCGTGGCTAGTGACTAAGGAGTGGCCAGTGGAAGGTGAGCAGAAGCCACGTGTTCCTGAGATCCCCGTTGTACTGCCCCTGTGTCTTGCCCCTTCCTGCACGCTGGAATAGGACTTGCGAACAAGCAGGTCTCTGCCATGTGGATGAAGACACTTCTCTATCATACAGCAGAATACAAGACAAAAACTGGGGTCCCAGGATGACCCTGTAAAACAGAGCCACCTACCATGCTGGAGTGCTTCTCTCCCTCAGGGACTATCATGCTAAGAAAAAAACCAAAAACTGTACTTCTGTCTTGTTTGATTCACTGTACTTTGCATGTCTTTGTTAAAGCGACTTTGCCTAACTAAAGTGATACCCAGAAATGAGTTACCACAGTGTCAAAACCACGCTGTGGCATCGGCTTACAGCTGGCAAGGGAAGGTGGTCAGAGAATGGATATTGCAGACTCTAAGGCTGGTAACCCCCTTACACTGTAGCAAAAAATGTACTAAAACCTCAGTAACTTGGAAGACAGGTCCTGTGTCACCTGAACTTGGAGCTGTAGGGGCAGCCGTGGGAAGCGGGATGCTGATTGCTTGCTCCCTGCTGTTTTTAAGTGAGCTCCTCCAAGAGTAAGAGGAAAACAGGCAAGAACTGGCAGGTTTGTAAGCAGAAGTGGAGGGAGACACAGCCCAAGGGTAGTGTATTCTCCCTGCGCTCTGCCATGTAAATTAATGGAGACTCTAATCATTTGGGACGAGAAAAACCAATTGCTCCTGTACCCCAAGTGCAGGAAATACGAATTTCTCTCAAAGCCTCTCTGGATAAATGTATTCTTGGCCAGACATGGGAGTCAGACCATTTGTAAACATGAGATTGAGGGTCCTACCTCCGGGGAGTTGCCCTTAAAAGGAGGGAGAGATGGATGGGCCGAGAACAGACACCAGTAACTAATTTGCAGGCCACCGGCCTGAAAACGGAGACCCAGAAGAGACCTTGGGCAGCAGGCTCTCAGCCCTGGAGCCAACTGGAAGCAAACGAACTGGAACCCAGTTTGGTGTTTGAGGGATCTACATAGTCACCAGCCTAAAAAGTCTGTGACTTTCCAACCCCTAAAGAAACCGCTAGCCCCCCAAATCTGCACTAGCAGAAAAGGTGTTCTAAGGCTATGCAGCCCCAAGAAGAGGTTCAGAAGTGGTCGTGGCAGGAAAGCGGCCGAGAGGATTTTGGAGAGCAGAAGCGAAGGTTCGCCAAGGAGCCTCTGCAGCCCCAGCCGGCGGGGCTGTGTTACGGTAAAGGACTAGCGATTGCATTTCGCATCTTCCCTTTTCCAGCAGGAGTTAATGTGGTGGTTTCTACTCGAGCTCCCATGTAGCATTTGGGAGGTGGGGAATGGATGAACTTGTCTGTCCTTTCACAGGGTTTGCATGGGGAGGAGGGTGACCTCATCCAGTGAGAAGGACTGCCTCACATCACACACAAGTCCCGGGTTACAGCCTGAGGCGTTCCCTGAATGAACCTCTGTGTCCCTCTTGGGGTGGCAAAAACGTCCTCCATTCGTGGGAAGGAGAGGACACATGGGAACCTCTGTAGCCAGAGGGGCAAACGGAAGCAGGAGTTGCTAATTCCGCACACCCCCCCCAAATCCATTCACCCCACTTCCTGTTTGTAACAGAAGCTCCAGGATTTTCATTGGTCATCAGGCAGCCCACCTAGGAACGACCTTTCCCGGTCCCCTCTGCTGTGGGGCGGGTCTTTGTGACCAAGGAACATGACAATGGAATGAGAAGCGATGTGGGTGACCTCCAGGTGTTCCCTCCTCCCTGTGGGCCGGAATCAGATGCAGCGGCGCTGAGTGGCCTTGAGCCTCTGAGAAGAACAGCGCGGAGGACGGGAAGCGCTCTCAGGACTTGGTGGGACACGCAGGGATGTGGCGTGGGTCCCTGAACACCCGCAGGGAAGTGCAGGCTGCCCACCCTGCACCTGCCTGTCCCTGGGCTGTCCCCGAGGAGAAGGCTCTCCTGTCTCACCTGCGTCACTGTCTCTCGGGGCCTCTGGTACCACCATTTAGCCAGGACCCTGAGTAACACCTTCATGTAATTTTAGAATGTACTGCTTGTTTGGGAAATTCGTTTTTTCCAAAACAATAATATTTTTTTAAAGTGTCAGGATCCCATTAAAATGTTTTTTTTTTTACTCTATAATATTACTTCTGAAACACAAAACTAAGTATTTCAAATAAAGAAAGGGACACATGCTGGAAGCTGTCCGCCACAGCTCCCACATGGAGAGAAACACGCTAAATGCTCAACTCCAGGGAATAACTGAGCCAACTTTCGGGCCAGCTCTAGCTTTATAAGCTATTAAAATAATCATCAAATGATAATATGGAGAAAACACACGCATAACTGGTGCCCCTGAAGAAGGGAAAACATGCGACGGAAAAGCTGCTGAGTATTTTATTACAGAAGGAAAGAAAGCTTCCTGAAGTCAAAAGTAAAAGACGTGTCTGTCTGTAGGTCCAAGGGGACAGACTATCCCAGGAAAAATAAGGAGCTCGGAAACAGCAGAGGTGAAGAAAGACTCTAAGGCCGCCAGAGAGCAGCGACTTCCCCGGGACAACAGCGGATAGAAGGCAGCACAGCGTTCCGTGCGGCCTCCCGAGCGGAAGGAAGAAAGACTCAGGCTTGGGACCCGCTGAGAGGAAAGGTCGCAGAGAGATTAAGCAGGCGAGACCCCAGGGGAGGCAGCGCCCACGATCCTTTCATGGGGGGGAAAAAAAGTGCTTCACGGCAAAATCCAACCAACCGAGAAATAAGTCAAGTCAGGAACTCAGGAGTGGAGCAAGGCACGTGGAGCCCGGGATGTGGTCGGAAACAGGCAACTGAGAGGGGAGAACTGTGGGCCCTGTGGCTCCGGAACTCCTGTCCCGGACCTCGCACTCTATAAAACGGAGCCGGGACAAGCGGGGGAGGCGCCGGGCAGGCGTATGAGACAACGGGCTCCGCCTGTCAGCAGCTGAAACACGATTTACAAACCAACGACGCCTGTCCAGAGGTTCCTGCACTTTACTGTACACGTTATTTCTCAGGAAAAATAGGGATGGAGCCATCTCTTCCTGCTTTCCATCATCTTTTTTCTTAACTTCGGGGGAACAGATCAAGAAGTAATATATCTTACTGTGAAAAAAAATTCCCTTGAAGTTTGACAATCCCTTCCGTTTCATTTCGTCTTTTCTTGACAGATACAAGTAAAATTACATATAGTTCATGAACACAGGTTGCTATTTGACCAAATTAAATCTTTATAAAATGTGAATCCTAGTTTTGCACAATTGCTTCTATTTCAGAATGGCATTCACTGCATATTGAGAATGGATATCTCTCGAGTGGTAAGATTTGGGAGGCTTTTTAAAATTCACTTGCACTTCTATATAAATTACTAAATAAGTACATTTTTTTCCACAAGCAATCGATTTCATGTTCTTTCAAAGATAATGATCAAGAAAGATTATTATATTAAAAATCAAAATAATGATAAATTTCCAAAACGCAGTATGATGCAGAGGATGAATTTTTTAAAGCACACACGTACATCCATTGAAGAGGCAAATGCGCTAAAATTTTCACAGTGCTTTAGGGTTTACGGATAGATTTCTCCCTCAAAAATCTGCAAGGAAACTGGAATGCTTACATCATGAAAAAGAATATTCAATGACTAATAAATGGCTTCGCTGGTTCTGCCAAGAACTCCCTTTCTATCACCCAACATAGTAGTAATTACCCTAAATAATAAATGGTGAGGCCTAAAAGGAGTTAAGAGTCTGTTTGCCCACCTGGGGCGAGGAGGCAATTGTTGCGGCAGAGAAAAACAAAGACCATGTGCAGGACAGCAAACTGTTTCATTAGACCAAATTGATGTCAGTAGCAGAATAACCCGAAAGCGAAATCGACCCCAGCGGTCGTGACAGTGGGAGGACTAGCATGCAGGACGCTGTTGAAACAAAAGGCCTGCACCCGAGGCGTGAGGAAGCACGGCCGTGGATGCTCTTGGAAAGGCGCCTGTTGCGTGGGCACACGACCCGGACCGCCGAGGGCTCGCCGGGGCCCCAGCTGGCGAGGCCCTGGCTGGCAAGGCCCCGGTGCCTCCCCTCCCTGCACACGCCGTAGGTGAGCCACGTACCGAACCTGGTTCTCCAGGAAGTGCATGTACCGGTAAAGCAGCGTGTAGGACGGAGACAGGATGCCCACAGACTTCATGCGCGCCCCACGCTCCAGCTCGCTCTCCACGGGCATGTTGGCGAAGCAGGCCAGGCCGAAGAAGGGCCCCTTCCGGAAATAGCTTCGAAATCAGAGACAGAGAACCTGGGTTGCTTTGTTTTTCCGTTGGAGATGCAGCCCCCAAGAAAAGAAATAACTGTGTCCAGGGCTCTATGTGAGAGCGCTTGGCCTAAAACACATACATTCCTAGAACCTCAGGGGGACAATTAGCCTAAGTTGCTCAGCCTCATGACCGAGACATCCAAGGCTCGCATGGATTATGGAGCTCGCCAAGGGCCGTCCAGCTGGAGCCAGGCCTGATCTCTGGCAAGCCTGCTGCTCCGGGCCCTCTCTCCGCTCCTGCCTAACAACGGATGACCGGGCGCACAGGTCCTCCGCGGGCCTGTCTGGAACCAGCATTCCGCCTCATCAGCATAAACCGTGTTGACCCTTTCCTCACTTCCTGGGGCTCTGATGCCTTCAAGGCAGCACGTGACCAGGGCCACAGAGTTTCCTTCCCCTTTCTCACACTGGCTGGTCGGGGTTCCAGCCCACCGAGGAGATTAAAGCCGCTTCATCACCTGTATGCTCTTCGCTCCTCCCAAGAGTCTTGATTACACTGGACTACCAACTGGCCTTACTGAAAGCTGGACTTCCCAGTTTTAGCACATAAACAGCTGGAGCTAACTGAAACTAAACCAAAACACCATGCTTTCATTGAAGCCAAAGCTCGTGGGAGGTCCAGTCATTTCTTAGAAAGGGAAAGAAGTTCTGTGGTAGTTCTTCGCTGTTTTGGGTCATGAAATCCATTGAGAACCTAATGAAAAGTAGGGACCTTCTTGCTAGAAAAACGATGTAAACACAAAACTATATATGTATTTTTTTTCCCAGGGCATTTACACACACCTCCTGCAGACCCCCAATAAGAAGCCTTATGCTCTGGGGAAAGTAAAGGGTGGGGAGGAAATGCTACAGAGGAGACTCACATCCACAAGGACTTACATGAAATCAGACTGGATTTTATGGGACCCGCTGGCCATAGACTTGAACTCCACGCCCTCGAGGTCAATGTCTTGAGGTAAACACCATTCCACCATGTTTCCTGTGGGGGAAGGGAGAACATGGGTTACAAAAACAGCAGCATGCAGAGAACGAGGCTGCGTGCAGGGAGCAGCACACACGGCTTCCCGGGAAGTGCATCGATGACTTGTGGAACTTCGATCCACCTCCACGCTGCACTGTGTGCGCACAGAAAAACATGGTACGACGTGCCGTCACAACAGCACAGTTCAGGGAATCTCCCCGGTGTGCACATGCCTGCGTAGCCAGCACCCAGACCAAGATGCGGGCATTGTCTGCACAGCGGTAGCCTCTCGAGTCCCCGCCGGGTCACCAACCCTCTCCCAAGGTGACGATGGTCCTGACCTCTAACGCCATACATTAGCTTGGCTGCTCTTAACATTCTAGAAATGTGGTCACAGCTTGCATTCTTCCACGTCTGTTTCTTTTCGCTCAATATATTTTTTGCAGGATTCATCCATGTTGGTGCCTGGAGCAATAGTTTGCTCACTGATTACTTCCACCCTATGTATGTCACACTGTTTACTTAGTTGTCGATACTAACTTAGCTTATTTTCAACCGAACGCTATTACAAATGGCACTGCCGTAGGCCATCTGCAGCACACGCGTGGCGAGGCCGTGCTCCATTGCTCAGAGCTCCCTTCGCTGCAGTTTCCCGCTGAGACTGGGAAGGCAGAAGTGAAGCAGCGCCACGCTGTGTGTTTACGTCTGGTCGGCGTGGCAGGAGCACCAGGCAGCTCACACCATGGGGGGGCGGCCAGGCCCACCTCCCCCTGGGTCCTCTTTCAGCTTTTCTGGCTCCTGAGCCAGGAGTGTGTTGGGTTCCATAGCAATCTGGGCATCAGCTTCATCAGGACACCCGCGTCGTTCAACTGGAGGCAGTGACGGACTGACCCAGGTTCCCCTCCCACCTCATCAGTTCCAGTGTGGTGCTCTCTCTCTCTCTCCCTGATTTTACTGCCTTCCGTGACTGCTCAGCCAGGACATGCCGAGCTCCATCACCAGACACAAAGACCACAGCCTCACACGGAGTCTGCCCAGCTGCCACCCTGTGCAACACCGAGTCCCTGGTTCCGCCTCCCGGCTTGCGCCTTGGCCAACTCTACCTGCACAGGTTTCTGTGGCCTGCACCACGAGATGGGCTGCTGTAAAAACATGTAAGTCACTGCAAACTAGAGAATGCCTACAACTCCCAAAGGAGTGTTTTCCAAAGTTAGGTTAACAAGGATTCTGCAAAACATAAAACACACATTTGTAAAAAAGGGATTTTAGCCAAACAACCTTTGTTTAAGCTATATAAAGATGGACACATTACTGCACTGCAAGACTTCTCAGGGCCTTTATATGTTGCTCCGTGCTGTGAAATTATGAAATGAATATAGTGTTGGAAGTTTCTGCAATTTTTTGGCCAATAATCCTATTTTTAAGGGGCATCTAGCCCTGGCTGGTATGGTTCAGTGTATTGAGTGCCAGCCTGAGAACCAAAGGGTCTCTGGTTCGATTCCCAGTCAGGGCACATGCCTGGGTCGTGGGCCAGGTCCCTGGTCGGGGGTGCACGAGAGGCAGCCACACAGTGATGTTTCTTTCCCTCTCTTTCTCCTTACCTTCTCCTCTAAAAATAAATTTTAAAAAATCTTTAAAAGAGGTGGGCATCTAAGGCATATTTCTATAGAAGGCATTTTTTTAAAAAGAAACGCTAGTATTCAAGGGGCTATAAGTTGACCCTCAGTATCCAGTCCTCCTTTCTTACAGGGAGCGGAACCAAATGACAAGCACGTTTCTCAGTACCTTCTTCGCTCAGAGGTATGGCTATGTGAGCAAATTCTAGCCAATGAGCTGTGGACAAAAGTGAGGTGGGTCGTTTCCAAAATGTGCCTTCCCATGAAGGAGAATGCCGTCCCTTCCTCCGTCCTGCTGCCTGGAACGTGGAGGTGGTGACCAGCCATCCTGAATCACGCAGGGGAGGGCTCCCCCTGCACATCGTGGAGGGGACAAAGGAGCAAGAGCCACTGCGAGTCCAGGTCCCTGGGTGACCTCGTGGATCGGAGCCCGCATGCCAGCCCTGCGCCAGCGATCTCCTGGCTGATGATACATGACAAAGAAGAACCTATCTTAAGCCACTGTTAATTTGCGTCTCTGGTATTCAGGGTTGAACCCATAACACAGAGGTCATAATGCAGCTGACCTATGGAATTGAGTCCCCATTCCTCAGCTGGTTCCCAAAGCCTTCCTCCTGGTTCCTCGGTGCCTGGCCACTCCTTAACGTACAGAAACAGGAAGAGTCGGATGGACCGAACAGCCTCCTATTCATTCCACTCTTCACATCTAGGTAGACGCCAGCCCCTCTGGGTGGGGAAGGAAGGCCCGTCAGGCTGACGGACTATGGGATGGAGCCCAGGCTCTGGAACACCACTCGGGGCAGAGTTCTCGAGCCCCCAGGGAGTGCCGCTCTGACGACACGCCCCTGGAGTGCGAGGGAAGTGGGAAAAGCAGCCCTGGCCCCCATCCCAGCCTGCTGTCTCCACCGCACTGGCCCTCTGTCTCCCCGGAGACGGACCCTCTTCAAGGCAGGGATTCTGCTTATTCCTCTCCACATCCAAACACAGCCCAGCGATTGTCACAAGACAGGCATTAAAAACTAAAGAAAACCGAAAAAAAAAAAAACAAACCCTCAGCTTTATTGATGATAGGCATGTTGTTTAAAAGTTAACTGATGGCTTAATGTTAATTTCCCTAGAGGCAATATACGTGTGGATACACCGGTGAGTGTCCTTCTGCGTAGGGCGCTGATGCACCAGTGTTAGAAGTAAAGGATCCTCATGTCTGCTTTTACTTTCAAACCGCTCAGGGGGAAGAAAGGACATCTATGTCTGTGTGTGGTCAGTTCTGATGTGCTGTTTACCGAATTGTGTCAACACAACAGATATTTTAGGGAAGAATGTGAGCAGGGGAAAGTTCACATTTGCTTATGCTATAGATTCAAGGCAATTTCCATAAAAACCTCAGCAAGTTACTTTGTGGGTATTGACAAATTAATTCTAAAGTTTATATGAAAAGGCAAGAGGCCCAAAATAGCCAAGATTACATTGGATTGACCAAAAAATCCATTTAGTTTTTTCCATAAAAGACACATTTTTCATTTCCACCAATAACTTTATTGATTTGGATATTTTGAGTACATTGGCTTTTAGTGGGTAGAGGCCAGGGGTGCTGCTAAATGCCTTCTAATGCATAAGACAGCCCCACCGCAAAGAATTATTTGGCCAGAATGTCAACAGGACCAAGAAACGTCATGAACCACTTTTGACACATTTGATCAGTCACAGCACCTTCTCTATACACAGCACAAATCTTTTTTGCATTTCAGTCATGTTTTTACCTTTCTTTAAATAATAAAGCATAATAAACAGAAAATGTGTATTTTCTTCCATCTTCAATATTAAAATGGCTACAAAAAATCACCAATTTTGATGTATTTTTAAATGCATGCTGATATGACAGCTGTTACAATACAATCTGACAAAATTGTCTCGAATGAAGTTAAAGACAACAAAGCACTACTAGAGGCACTGTATGGAAAAAACTAAATGAACTTTTTGGCTAGCCCAATATTTAAGAAAAACAGTGAGAGGACTAATAGTATTCAGTTCTAGGACTTACTACAAAACCACGGTAATCAAGAGTGTGGAACACAAGGGAAACCAAAGAAAAAAAATAGAAGACTGCACCAAACTAAAGTTTCTGCACAAAGAACTCAAGCAAATCAACACCAAGAACCCTCCAAACAATCCAATTTAAGAAATGGGCAGAGGACATGAGCCCACACCTCTCCAAAGAGGACGCACAGATGGCCAACAGACATATGAGAGATGCCCAGCATCACCGGTCATCAGACAGATGCAGGATAGAACCATAATGAGATACCACCTCACACCTGTCAGGAAGGCCATCATCTATAAACCAGCAAGCAGCAAGTGCTGGTGAGGATGAGGAGAAGAGGGAACCCTCGTGCACTGTTGGTGGGAATGCAGACTGGTGCAGCCACTGTGGAAAGCAGAATGGAGATACCTCCAAAAACTAAAAATAGAACTGCTCCATGACCCAGCTATTCCACTTCTGGATATTTACCCAAAGAAACCCAAAACACCAATTCAAAGGAATATATGCACCTTTGTGTCCACTGCTGCACTATTTACAATGGCCAAGATATGAAAGCAACCCAAGTGTCCATTAATCGATGAGTGGATAAAAAAGTGGTGGCACATATATACAATGGAGTATTACTTGGTCATAAAAAAAGAATGAAATCTTACTATTTGTGACACCATGGATGCACCTAGAGGGTATTATGCTAAATGAAATAAGTCAGTTGGAGAAAGACAAATACCATATGATCCCACTTCTATGTGGAACCTTAAGAACAGAATAAACAAACTAAAAAAAAAAAGTGAAGCAGACTCATAGACACAGAGAACAGACTGACGATTGCCGGCGGGGAGTGGGGTTGAGTACGGGGTGAGAAGGGGGAAGGGATTAACAAGTACAAACAGGTAGTCACAAAATAGTCACAGGGATGTAAGGTACAGCATGGGAGACACAGCCAATGACACTGTGGTGACTGTGTGTGGTGCCAGGTGGGTGCTTGGGACAATGGGGGAGCACTTAGTAGGGCATATGAGTCAGCTGCACACCTGAAACTGGTCCAAAACGGTATTGAACGTGAGTTTCAGCTGAAAAAGAACCCCAGCAGGTCTTGACCGTGCACACGAAAAGCTATTTTTTAAATGTGTTTTCCCTTGTAGTTTATTCCCTTCATTTTCTGACATCATGGAGTGGACGCTTAGCTCATTCTTTTTAAAACGTTTTCTTTTCTAATGTATGTATTTAGCATGTAAATTTTCTTTCATACCCCACCTTGGCTTTCTCTCTCAAATACTGAGCTAGTCCCACAGCGACTGATCCCTGAGGCAGCGATCTGACCACGGGGGACCTCCTGTCGGCTGATCCGTGATTCCGACCAC